TTTATATACGTATATGTACACATCACATACATATATATACACATCATGTATGCATTCTCGCTGTCAGCTCCGAAATTGGACGAATTTTGGTGAGATTTTCAAGAAGTTTTCTAATTATTCTTTTTTTTATTGCTAGATGGGTGGACGAGCTCAAAGCCCACCTGGTTTTAAGTGGTTACTGAAGCCCATAGACATCTACGACGTAAATGCGCCACCCACCTTGAGATATAAGTTCTAAGGTCACAGTTTAGTTACAACGGCTGCCCCACCCTTCAAACCGAAACGCATTACTGCTTCACGGCAGAAATAGGCAGGATGGTGGTACCTACCCGCGCGGATTCACAAGAGGTCCTACCACCAGTAAACTCACAAGAGGTCCTACCACCAGTAAATCTAATTGCCCCAGCGGGTGATCCTGTGAAGTTTGCTAATGATCTGATTAAAGTCAAATCAAAAAACATCCAGCAAAGCAGTCCGGGTCTGACTAGTATTCAATAATACCATATTATTATACTAAAAAAATAAGACTATTTAGTTTTCGTTCCTTATTTTCAACGTTGAATCTGTTTGTTCACCAACTGGAAAGATATCTTCATTTATATTATTACCGAAAGTAATTTAGGTAAGTGTCGGATTTCTCTATGAAGTTTTTGGCAGCCGAGTAAGTGTTTGTAAATGATTGCGTTTTGCAATGCCACCCACGCGTTACCGCATTGATAACAATCTGAAATACATCGCTAACCCACTCACTGCCTGCTGGGAACAGGATTTTTTTTGCTGAGTTTTTTTCAACTAAATTCACAATATCCAACTTTAATAGATTTCATTTTTTAACCTGTGAATTGTAAGTATTAGAAGCGGGCTTTGTAGCATGTTAGTACTCTCTCGTACATCGTATTTTTTTTATTTCAATTACAAAGCTGACTGTTCATAAGATTCTTAAGCGGTCGTGCCTTTAAACTGTTAAAAGATATTCGATTGTGCTTATAACCAGTAAGGTTTTTTTTTTATTGCTTAGATGGGTGGACGAGCTCACAGCCCACCTGGTGTTAAGTGGTTACTGGAGCCCATAGACATCCACAACGTAAATGTGCCACCCACTTTGAGATAGAAGTTCTAAGGTCTCAAGTATAGTTAAACGGCTGCCCCACCCTTCAAACCGAAACGCATTACTGCATCACGGCAGAAATAGGCAGGGTGATGGTACCCACCCGCGCGGACTCACAAGAGGTCCTACCACCAGTATTTACGCAAATTATAATTTTTTATGCATGCATATCAAATTATGATTTGATATGCATCGCAAAACCGTAACACGAATCAATGCAAAGCACTCTCAAAATCTGACTTCGCGACCGAGTGTCGTCACTCAAGCGAACCCAAAACGTAGAGCTTTGCTTTGTTAATTTAGAATTCCCACAAATTCACATTTATTATTGTAAGTTTATAACATAACAATAACATTGCGCAATGGTGCCACTTTCGTTGCTACAATGAAAACGAGAGCAGCCGTGGAAATTACAGAAATTAGATTTCATATGTAGATAAATAAAATTAATGAATCGAAATGCTATAAGATCAGGGATGTCAAATTAACGAAGTCTTTTGTGTCAAGAGGTAACATATTATAAGACGGCTTGGTTGGTAGGTGCGCATTAGTACGTATTGTCCTACTTAAAGCCTATTGAAGTACCTACTTGAAGTATCTGATGAAGGTACTATTGCCACGGATAGATGATAAGGAAACAGAATTGTTTACGCTTAGTGAAACTAGATCATCACTAGAACCATCACAGCACGTGACTAATAATGTTGTATGTTAATAGCGTTTTTTTATTTCGTTACAACTTTTTGAAGTAATACTTCTTTAGGCGCGTTATGAAAAATTGATGAGAGTGAAATTTTACGATGCGCGCGCACCGTGACACAAAATTAACAGAATGAAGTTGCCCACAAATCGCTCATTACAATACGACCAACGTAACTTGGCGAGTCGGAATATAGCCGCAGGTGAACTTTCCGAACCGTTGGATGTTGTTTAATCGATTTTTTTTCAAATTGATTAAAAAAAAAAAAAAAAAAATTAATAAAAATAAAGTATAACTTCTTACGCGCGTACATAAGTATACGCACCCTTTTTTTATTATAATCAGCTTAAATTACAATTATAGCACGGCGCTTAAAAAACAAGCTGATCGTGTTTTATTCTTATATACCTTCGATCAATAATAGTACTATACGTTTATCGTTTCTATTATGTATCGGAAAGTAATCTAGCTTATTGAGATATTAAATTAAATTGAATGAATAGTTCAAAAGTGTTCAACATACAATAAAGCTATGGATCGTGGACACATTCAAACTGTCGTCTGCTACGCCGGTCTACTAATGCATGTCTCACACATAAATAGATAATACTTTTTTCTCAGCTTATTTCTTCTACACGTGTCGAACACCCCTGTATTAAACTATTTATTTTGTTTTCCGACTGGCGTACCGTGAGACTGATCAACATCTTGAGCAAAACCGCTGTTTTTTTAATACGCTTTTATTAGCTTCAGACGTATGTATGTATGTAATGAAATCTTTGAACATGATTTTGACCCCCCTCAAAACGTCGGATTAACTCGGAATTTGGTATACTTATTAAGGACTGATGACAAATCAATATAAAAAAAATATAAAAAAGATATTGAAAAAAAATAATTGAAAAAATTGAAATAGAATAGAATAGAAATAAATAGAATAGAAACAGTGTAAGAAAAAATGATTTTATTGTAAAAAGCGTGGGGTGCTTTTCAGGATAGTATCAAAATAACCCTTATACTCATATCTGTTCATAAAACATTTATAACTACTTATACCATGTATCCCACGCTTTTTTTACAATAAAATCATTTTCTCTTACACTATTTTTAATTCAAATTTATCAAAATTTATTTTCTATTTTTAGTTGGATTTTCTATAAAAGCGTATTTTGTTAGTTTTGTTAAACTATTATTTATTTTTTGTTGTTTAAAACGACACTGTACGCATTTTTCAATATTATTTGATACCCCAGCGACAGTCTTCCGTCATGCGTGTCAACTATTACACTGTTTATCGGGAGTAAGTTATCTTACACTTAAGTTGAACCGTGTCCTTAGACTTTCGAGCCACAAAGTACGGAGCTCAAGGTCGGAAGTCTAACGGAAGATTCTGTTCGTATTTTCCCTAGGTGTCAGCTGTAATAGTCCTAATATCAAGTGTGAGGACAATAATAATAATAATAATAACATAACTCTTTATTTAACACCACATGTACAGAGTAAGCATATTATAAAACAAATAATAGACGGTGAATTAAATTGGCGGCCTTATCGCTGAAAGCGATCTCTTCCTGGCAACCTTGCCGGAAGAGGAATAAGCAATCTAGCATGGACGATACTATATCTTAATAAACTTACATAAAAATATTCTCAAAAATTCTATTTTCTTTTTTTGGCACTGAGTCGTTGTCTTAGCCCATAGACATCAACAACGTATAATATATGACCCCACTTGCTCTAAGATTAAGTTCTATATTACATTCTGTCCAATGTGGACATTTAAAACCAAAAGAGTCATCAGTCAAAACAGCTAGATCTATTCTATAGACAAATGCTTTATTTTACTAGCAAATAAGCAGGCTCTAAAATTCAAACTCAACTGTTATACGTGCTGTTAATAGTATCAAAAGGTTACTCATTGGTTACCAATAGCTACTCGAAAAAAAAATACTGGCACGAAAGAAGTCAATAACTCATTATTGTTAACTGTTAACGCGTTAAACAAAAACAGCGTCTGGAACATCAACGAAAATAGTTTTGAAGACGCCAAAGCCACCCCTACTTTATGTGACACAAACAAACAAAAAATGAGATCTGGTAATCGTTACTTTAGTTTGAACGTGAATGTTTATTTGTCTTAACTCATTTTAAGCGGTACGGTTTGTTGAGTTTGTCTAATCTATATATTAATACGTGAAGGAAAAACTTTGTATCCCTTTTTACGAAAATTGCGCGGACGTAGGAGTATGACATTTCCCACACTTATAGAGAATATAGGGAAGAAGTGCACAATGCTAATATTTTTTTAAATTATGCCTAAAATCTGCTCGTCTACACGTGATACGATACATTTTCTTAGAAAAAATTGGTACCCGCCAATACGAAACAATCCCTTAAGAGGGGCAGTCACGCAACACACTTCGTTGTGAGGAATCAATTATGAGTGATGTTTTCCAACTGTTTATTGTCTATTTATGATCCAGTTAAATGACAAACGATAATTTAAGTCGCAAATTTATCGTTTAGGCTACTTTTTCACAGACTCAAAATTTTTAAATCTACAGAATAAAACCTATGTTTACTTAGTTGTTTTATTATCTGTGTTGAAAATTTTCATTTTTTAAATATTATTTGTCAAAAAAAAATTATCAACCTTTTTGTCCCGTATTTAAATTAAAGTCAGTTTTATTACAAGCAGTAAACATCGCAAATTGCGTATTTTCACTTAGAATTCTAATTTACAAGAAGCCGTTAGTATTTACGCGTGCTCCTAATTAATTCTAATTTAGCTAATTATTCGCAAATAAAGCTGCGACAGGTTCAGCGCACAAACAGAGGTGCGCCTGAGTCACGTTTCCGCTTGATTGTGACAATACCTTTAACATTTTTGGATTTTGGTTTACAAACGCAATAAAAACATAGGTTATCTCTGATTGTCACAGATAATACGATATGAATCGATATTGACAGTTTGTAGTTTTACATTATGAATACAATACTACGAAAATAACTTTATTGATTCAAAGTAAATTGATGATATAAATCATGTTTTTTAATGTTTCTTGTGGTTTATAGAAATCCTTTGCTAAATATAGACAGTTATAATTTTCTTTCATTTTAAATTTTATTCCTAAATGTTTTCATCTGAACTGGATAAATTCTTTACATATTTAAAAAAAGATCAATACTCACATCATAACTCCAAGTACAGGATACACCGGCAAACTTGGCGACACAGCGACCCAGCTCCACGTCCTCGTGAGTGGAGTACAGGTGCTTCAAGCAGTACTTCACGTGAGGGGCCACTCTCCGCAGGGTCTCACGAGAAATCAGTACACCAGGACCACCCATACAGAAGTTCTCATTATAGTCCAGAGCCAGCACATCTTTTTCGTCGTTGGTTCCCCTACCAGCTTGCCCTATGAACTGAGGCTTGCGGCTGTCAACCGAACGCAGGAATTCCTCTAATTTATCACCTCTTACGTATACATCATCGTCCGCTCTCATGAACCATTCGAATTTCTCCCCATACTTTTCGTACATGTGCAACAACATGAGGAAAGATTTTTTCTGAGGAGGATAACTGTCGTCTACGTTGCGCAGCGGCACGAGGGGCAAACCCGGGGCCCGAGACACTTCTGAACTGAAAAACGCGATACGCCCCGGCAGGTCCTGGGCCCAGGTGTCGTACACTGCCCTCGCTCTCGTCGTCAAATATTGTTCAGCCGTCATCACACCGACAAACACTAGAGTTCTGTTTGAATTATGAACAGTCTCGTTCGGGTTGAGACCTATTAAGGCTAGCGGTTCCGGGTCCGCATACGAGCGGGCCGACTCCGGACAAGCCTCTATGCTCGTCCGCGAGGAAGTCCTCAAACACAGCTTGAGAAACACTCCAAACACGACGCCGGCCACGAGCCCAGTCACCATGTGCATCCACCTACTTCTTCGAGGCATCATGGCGGTACTGCAGAATCAACACTAGCAACCACGATCACCCGGCGTCCACATGTGTACGTTCCAGGAATAACGTTTTTATCCCTTTTTTGTATCGTCCGGGAGGGGTAGACATCAGCGGGCTGCTTTTTTGTTCGGTTGTCGCTCCCGTCGGGCGGGGAACGCTCACATGGCCGCGCACGTCGCCGGCAGACCGTCGCGCAACTCGAAATCGAACTCTATCGCGATATCGCCGGCCTAAATATCAGATTTTGCAGATGTTATCGGTGCGAGCGCGGCGAGGCGCGGCGCCTGCGGTAATGCGACTCGTGCATGCTCCGCGTCGCAGCGAGTCACCGAGCCGGGCAGCTGTTATCGCGCGAGAGCAGTTCGACTCGTGCGCCGCTCGCGAACCAACTGGACTGCTCCTCACAACAAAACCGAACCGTGCGGCGAGTGAGTGTCCGCCGTGCGGAATGTGTCCCTTTCGCTCGTTCGCCACTCCTCAATCTCCGTCCTCGTCGGGCGCGTCGTGGGTCGCTCGATGTGAACTTGTCCCATTCATTGCGGCCAGTCTGAAGGCGTCGACAATAGACAATGCGGTATTCGCCTATTGTCTGCTGGGTCACCGTCTCGCGGAAACTCAATTTTTATGACCCATTTGGCGCGGTCCAGGAACTACGCGACAGTGGCGGAAACGGTTGGTTCCTTTACCTGTTTCGGCTCGTGAACAACCAGGTCGATTCGCGTGACGCCTCATGAAATGACCGCTTAAAAAAATCGTCATTTTGCACTGTTTTCCTCTGCAGGCCTCATTTGATAAGTTGACAATTAGCGAGAGACCGCATTATCATTGTATCGATTACATTTTTTGCTCTCAAATTGATGTGCGTCTGTTCATTGACCCATTTGACACTAGCTGAGTGCGAACGTACGATCGCTTAAGTGAGTTGAAACTGGAGTGCTTTAAACTTTAGGCAACAATTTTATAATATAAAGTATACGTCATACGAAATATAAAATTATAAAAACTACATTCCTTAAATATAACACAAAATGAACAAAACAAAATAAAATATATTTTTCACGACGTATCATCATTAGGTACTATCACACAGGAGTAAAACACATAATACTTTATCATTATTTCTTGGCATTGACCCATTACATTACATTCAAAACGATAGCCCCTGCAACATGTAAGAAACCCTTAAATTCAAGTTTATAAGGTTGAAAGTAGGACTGGGTGTTTAAATTGAATACATGTGTACAAGAACATGGATACGTAAGATAAATCAAGCCTGTCTGGGCTTCTGAAAAGACAAATGCGTTATTAAATGATTGAAAATGAAGATCTACGGCGATAAATCATTGATATTTTGTTGAATAAATCGACGGTCCAATTAATTTATTGGTTTTATATCAATCTCTGGTCAGTCCACGCGAACTGACGGTAAATTGAAAATACGTAATTTCTAGGCGACTTCAATTGAAAACAGAAGACCTCATATAGAATTTGTAACGGGTTTTGTATTGTTAGCATGTCAATATTTAAACATATTTATTATAATGCTATTAGTATTTTATAACTATATAATTGTAAACAAACTTGCTTTCTGTGAACAATTTCAATTTGGACCTGACTTCATGTTCATAATAGTAACTGTCCAAAAGTAAAAAGTAAATAATTACTTCAAAATAAAGGAATTCTCAATTCGGACACTGCCTATTTAATGTAAAATTTTAATCTCCATCCTCACTTTTTTTTATTGCATACACGGGTAAACGAACCACCTGATGTTAATGTCGGCATCAACCTTGTGAGATGAGATCCAAGTCTTGATCGCTTTGAATAATATTGCACGTAGGCTCCACCCTTTAAAACGTATATCGCATATCTGCTGCAGAACGCATATGTGCCACGCAGCAAAAATAGACAGGATCGAGATATTTACTCGTGTGGGCTCTCCTTCTCCCCTATAACCAGTGATGTAAAGGGCATTTATGAATCAAGGTGATGCCTTCGTGTAATTGTTACCATCGCAGCGCCTGCAGATTCCATCCATACTACCTACATAAAAGCATTGCTATAATCCACTATGCGTTTCCAGATATCTTATTTATCATGCGGCTTAGGTATTTGTACCCTGAACGGTGTTTTCTGAGCACTTATAATACTAGTATAGTGATCGGCACGAGTCGTGAACTCTCGACAAAAGAGTGGGGGGCATCTGCGCATCGCACACTTAGGGTAAAATTAAATGGATTACTCATGTATTTGTGCAACGGCGGATCCAGGGGGGGGGTCATGGGGGTCATGACCCCCCCCTGAGCTAGTTCCAGGACTTGAACTAACTTGGACTAATTGAAGAACATCATGATTTATTTATTATCTATTGTTATCAAAATTAAATTATAAGTTCTTAACTTGCCCACGAGTATGTGACCCCCTCCTAGCGCCAAAGCTGGATCCGCCCTTGATTTGTTGTACCTTTTTTAATAATTAAATTAACTTCGTTCAATTTGGGATTTGTGAATGTGTTAGTATTATAATATTATAATAATCGTAATTTTATAATAGTGCCCGAGGTTTCGCTCAAATTATATTCAGAAATACATCCTATTTTTAACCGACTTTCAATAGGTTACCAATTCATGCCGTTTTTTTTCCATTGAACGTGTATGTTGTCGAGGTTTTACCGCTAATTTGCTTTTCCCGTGTGTTGACTGATATGGAAGAAATATACGAATTTATATAATTAACCTTTAGATTTTAGACGATTTTCATTGATTTCTCTGGTGCCAGGGAAACCATTTGAAAAATATACCTTATACTATTTCTAATTAATAAGCTTATAAGAGAAGCTTACAGCTACTTTATACAAGAACCATAAAACTTATAAACAATTCCTTAAGTTATATTTTTATACGAGTATTGATCAATGTCCAAGACAAAAGACACACTTGTGGTACTAAATGTACATTTATCCACAGTATTGACAAGAAATTACCGCCCGGAAGAATTAAATGAGGTTGAGAAAAAATGTGTGCTTAGTAAACATAGAGACATAATATTAAAAATTGGACGAAAGTGTAGTTTGTTGCAGTGATGCGCGTACACAACACAGGGAACCAATCACAACTGACGGCTTGTGACGCAACTTCAGAAGATCCAATCACATTTTTTTTATTGCTTTTGTAGGCTGACGAGCATACGGCCCACCTGATGGTGAGTGGTTACCGTCGCCCATGGACTTCAGCAATGCCAAGGGCAGAACCAAGCCGCTGCCTACCGATATCACATAATCGATATGGCCGACGCCACGGGGTTCTTGCCTCGTTTCACCAAATAGACCTAAAAATGCTCACGACTCGTGCCGACTTTTTTTTTTATTGCTTAGAAGGGTGGACGAGCTCCACCTGGTGTTAAGTGGTTACTGGAGCCCATAGACATCTACAACGTAAATGCGCCACCCACTTTGAGATATAAGTTTTAAGGTCTCAAGTATAGTTACAACGGCTGCCCCACCCTTCAAACCGAAACGCATTACTGCTTCACGGCAGAAATAGGCAGGGTGGTGGTACCTACCCGCGCGGACTCACAAGAGGTCCTACCACCAGTAAGAAAGACTACTTACTTTGGTCCGTACTTAGCTTCCTCCTAGTCTCAAATATCAATAATTTAAAATTAAGTATTAGAATACCTTCAGATCCTATAATTACTAATCAACTTGTTTTGAGATAATCAAAACAATTTAAACAGTCATAAAATGTTTTTTCTATGTCCGCATATTGTATCTTGGCGATATACATCAGGATCTAATACAACATAATAGTTACAACATGCAATTAAAATTTTATTTATCGTTAAATCAAATAAGGATGTTCGTAAATGCATTTGTTTGGTACAAATATTATATCTGCTTAATGATAATTGTTCCTTTAAAGATTGTATCTAAGTTAGGGGAACTTTACTGAGCAATTAAAATGTGTCGCGTATTTCGTTGCAAGATAATCAATAAATTTGGATCGGTATTTGATGACATGGGCATATAGACAGATCGTCGTGGCCTAGAGGATAAGGGGCCCGGTGTACTCACATCAATAAATGCGACTATTCTGGCCTTCAAATGCGGCAGAAAGACATCATTTTACTAAGAAAATAAGTTGCTAACACTTTCATCGCGCCCTTCGCATTGAAGATACCGCATCATGTATTTTATGTATATTACTGGTGGTAGGACGTCTTATGGGATTACTGGTGGTAGGACGTCTTGTGAGTCCGCACGGGTAGGTACGACCACCCTGCCTATTTGTGCCGTGAAGCAGTAATGTGTTTTGGTTTGAAGGTTGGGGCAGCCGTTGTACTGAACCTAGACTAGAACTCATGTCTCGAAGTGAGTGGGGGCACTTACGTTGTAGATGTCTACGGGCACCGGTAACCACTTCACACCAGGTGGGCCGTGAGTTCGTCTACCCGTCTTTTCTATCAGCCCACAGATGTCCACTGCTGGACATAGGCCTCTCCCAAGCCTCACCACAAAGATCTGTCCTGAACAGCTTACATCCAACAGATCCCCGCGAACCTCAATAGTCCACCAATCTAAGTTTTTTTATATATATTGCTTATATGGGTGGACAAGCTCACAAGCCACCTGGTGTTGTTAAGTGGTTACTGGAGCCCATAGACATCTACATCGTAAATGCGCCACCCACCTTGAGATATAAGTTCTAAGGTCGCAGTATAGTTACAACGGCTGCCCCGCCCGCATTTGCATGTAATAGAAATATATTACATGCAAATTTTATAAAATGTAATATTTTTTTTAATATTTAATGCGTATTTATTGATTGCACATGCGGCCCTCGGCGCGCCCTGCTCATTTCTGACGAGAAACAAAAATGTATTGCGGTTCGAAGGTCGTCGGAAAAGACAACTGTAGAGTCGACCTCACGTGGGTGATTCAGATTGCATTGTAATGTTGGATGCAAAGAAAATAAAAAAAATCTATTAAAATTTTATTGAATTGTGTTTGACAAACATCAATACAATCATTGCTATTTTGTGAAGCAATGTCTTTGGTAGGGCTAGCGTTAGCAAATTCTCTCAGGTTGAACCCGTGAGATCACGTAACCTTCCGGGCGTAACTGGAATCGTCCCTTAGACTACTAGCGAATAGGTAGGGAAAAAGAACAGTATTTTATTTATTATGCTAATACTAGCGACCCGCCCTCGCTTCGCTTCGGAAACTGTAATTTATTATTGATTTCTCCAATCCTCCTTCCTCTTCAATCACTATCTATTAAAAAAACCGCAACAAAATCCGTTGCGTAGTTTTAAAAATTTTTACTCGGTACTTTAAGAACCTAAAAGCACCGAGATTGGATCCGACAAGACATGTTTCGGGGCTTTTTTTCCTACCTAATCTGAGAGCCTTGAGAGGCTATATCAGCGTAACCTTAACTAGTAGGTGAGCTCACGGGCTCAAACCTGACGACGTTGCTAACACGAACCCTAGCAAGAGCCGTGCTTCACAGAATCTACCACCGGATCGGAAACGCGACCCACTGAGAAGATCCGGCGAGAAACTCAGTGGGCTGTGTCTGAAGGTGTTTCGGNTTTTTTTCCTACCTAATCTGAGAGCCTTGAGAGGCTATATCAGCGTAACCTTAACTAGTAGGTGAGCTCACGGGCTCAAACCTGACGACGTTGCTAACACGAACCCTAGCAAGAGCCGTGCTTCACAGAATCTACCACCGGATCGGAAACGCGACCCACTGAGAAGATCCGGCGAGAAACTCAGTGGGCTGTGTCTGAAGGTGTTTCGGGCGACGCGGCCACGGCGGCTCTACGTCGCCTGAATCGGATATGGAGCTGCTCCCACACGACAACGCTCGACCTCATACAGCACAACAGACGGTCTCTAAGCTACAAAAGATTGGGTTGGAAGTTTTTCCGTCATCCACCGTACTCACCAGACCTCGCCATGAAGTTTTCTAAAGTTTAGAAGCTATTTTTATTTATTGCTAAGTGGGCTCATCCGGTGTTAAGTCCATCCTCCTCGCGTCGTTTTCTTCATTACTGAGGGTCGTGACTCCCTCGCTGCATCAGTTTCTCCCGTACGATTTCTCTCCATCTGCTGCGATCCTTAGCTTCATGAAGGGCATTGTGGAAGTTGATGTTTAGAGAAGATCGTATATGGTCCGACCATCTCGTGGGACTGCGTCCTCTGGGACGATTGCCATCGACCTTTGTCACCATCAGCTGTTCTAGATTATGACCCTCTTTACGAGCAATATGTCCGAAGAATTCCAGCACCCTACGAAGGCATATAGTGGAAAGTCTAGTTTTGATATGAAGCTCTCTCAGAATAGACACGTTTGTGCGAAAGGCTGTGACAAATTCTTGGAAGGAAATAAAATCATTTTTTTCCCCAACCTATCAGCATAGCCTTGAGAGGCTATTTCAGCTTCGCCTTAACGTGTAGGTGACCTCACGGGGCTCAAGCCGGAGTGTTGTTAGCACTGGCCCTAGCTAGAGCAGTGCTTCGCAGAATCTACCATCGGGTCCGAAACCCGACCCACTGAGAAGATCCGGTGAGAAACTCAATGGGCTGTGTCTGTGGGGAAAATCAATACTCGAGAGACAGTATAAAATGCCTTTGAAGTTTGTTAGGTCCCGAACACCTGACTTCTTAAAGAAGGGTATTGAAAATTCACCCCGGCGGCACTACCACTGTCAGAGATTAGTCGATACAATGGGTGGATGAGAACTAGTCAGTTCCTCCACTTTACAAGTTTCCGTTTTTATAGGAGGTTGATTTTGTGGTGATTTTGGTTGATTAATAAACAAATATTTATAAAAAAATTAATATCTTTCTGTTCACTAAACGGCAATTTCGTAAGTAAAGGCCGTTTAAAATTTGTATCTTCCACCATCTAATTACGAGACTCGGGATTAAAATGAAAAAAAAATATATGATAAAAACCAACTCACAATTAATAAATAGGTACTACTATACACAACTACTACTGTTACTAGCCCCAAAAAATATGCACCGTCTCGTTTATTAGGAAACGCTTCAAATTAAATTAGGTTACAGAGGCTACTAATACGATAAGTAGGTACGTGATGAAACCGCAAAACTGTTCATAATCACGTCTAAGACATTGAAAGCCTAAAATACAAAGAACCTAAAATACGCAGTCTAGCAACATTTAGAGTATATAAGAGTATATATAGTATATATAAAGTACATATATAGAATAGAGTATATTTCAGTATAATGGTATTGTAATAATATTTCCGCTGCCGTATCACTCTTGTCAGAGCGGTCGTGGTTGTCATTCATTATCATTGCTGTGGGCAGTTGTTATGATGCTCACTAGCAATCGCCACTTCTCCCAGTTTGTGGTGAGCCTGGTACACTCATGCAAACAGTCGCCAACTGTCGACTTGACTCGGTCGGTCCATCGCATGGGCAGCCTTCCACGCGGTCTAGTGCCTTCTACTTTGCCCTGAACGACAAGGAGCTCTATGGAGTCATTTCCTCGCCGGGAGATATTATATGTCCAAAAAATGATAGTATGCGCCCATGCACGAGCGCCGAAAGACGCTGCTTAAGCAGAGCTCTTTTTTTTATTCTTGCTTAGGTAAGCCTTGAGAGGCTATTTCAGCGTAACCTTAACTAGGAGGTGAGCTCACGGGGCTCGAACCGGAGTGATGCTAACACTGACCCTGGCAAGAGCAGTGCTTCGCAGAATCTACTCTGAAGAAACTCAGTGGGCTGTGTCTATGGGTTAATTCGCTCGTCGAACCCTTTTTCGCAAGCGACGGATACGACGAGGACGGTGACCGGTGCTTGTGGTGCATAAAAGCACCGTTAATGAATCGGGAGGATCCGTAATGACGTGTTTTGGGCCAGAGCTCTTGAAGAATACTGTGGTAATAGGTTAACAGTATTCAATTAAAGTATGTTAATACTACTTTGTTCTCCGAAACTTTTTGTTTTCATATCTAATCTGTAGTGCTTGTAATATGTTTGCTGTCTTTGTCCACAGTACTTCGTGACGTAAGTGCAAAATGTGAGACGACAATTAAGTTAATTGGTTACTGGATAGACATCTACAACGTAAATGCCGCCACCCACCTTGAGATATGAGTTCTAAGGTCTCAGTATAGTTTCAACGGCTGCCCCACCCTTTAAACCGAAACACATTACTGCTTCATGGTAGAAATAGGCAGTATGGTGGTATCTACCCGTGCGGATTCACAAGACGTCCTACCACCGGTAATTACGCAAATTATAATTTTGCGGGTTTCATTTTTATTACACGATGTTATTCCTTCACCATGGAAGTCAATCGCAAACATTTGTTAAGTACGCATTTCATTAGAAAACCGTTTTCGTATCTTTCCCCTTTTTTATCCACCCCGCGGTTAGTCTCTTGAATCCCCGATCCTAGCTCCACCATGGTCAAAGTGGCCAGATGATTATGGTTCTATTGCAGTACACGTCGTTTTCAGAGTTCCGTCTCGGCAGGTGTCGGATGCTTGGTTGAGCGCGCCTGATTCCCAGACCCCGTGTCTCCCAAAGGATGTAGGACTCTGCCCAAAACTTCAGGTCCAATACCAAAAACCAGAGAACTCATTCCACGTGAAAAAAGAAGCGCTTTGTGGAATACGCGCGTGGTTCCAGATAATCTGCATCAACTCCGCTCCGGTGACGAGCGGAGCCACGTTACAAACGAAGCATTCCTCCTCAGAACACTCGCCCTTAAATATATGTTACAAAACAGAGAGCTGAGCTTCTGGGTCTACGGATCCCTCAGTAGTTCCATTATCCTAAGACACGAAGCATCCCTATCTATTCAGTAATTGAAATAAATAAAAGAAACATATTACATAATATTATATTCTCTGTAATATAGATTATTCTTTCACATTTACATACATTATTAAATTACCTCACTCTTAACAATTTACGTTACTAGTTCATCAATCGCTTTATCCCTGTTGAAGTCGTGCTTAGCGAGTGCTGATAACACACTCGCCTCCGAAAAGCCTAGATCCATCATCTCACCCACGACCAGAAGGCATTCGATCACCTGAAATTAATAAAGACAACATACACTCTCATCATGATCGTTTAATAACTAAATAACTTTGTTTTATTGATTGTAGGCTACGGATATCTAGTTACCGGATCCATCCTAAAATTATTTAACATTAGTAATATACAAAATCACTAACAGCTAGTTGAAAACTTGGTTTCTGGCTATATAGTTAGCACACAGCATAGTTGGTTTTAACTGCCCTTAAACTTGACCAATTTGACTAACCGCTATAAACCAGGAGGACAATGAACTCATGCACCTATTTAGACAATGAAAATAAATCACACCATTATGAGTCAATACACATTTGTCAGCCAAATATGATATCTATATATGAATATGAATGACAGAATTGGGGACTTCATGTCGAAATAAATGTTTAAATAATTGGTTTAAACTAACCAGCTGTGTGCGATAAAAGAAGTATTACTATTATAAGTTTACCAAGGCCAATTGAGTTGTTGAAACTTAAAAACGAAAAAAATGGGCTGATGAAGAACTTATTAACTACGAAAAATGGTTTTGTGAATAATTTTTCATCAAAAAATTTGTTATTTTCCTACAGATAGAGATATGTCTGAAATCAGTCATGTAAGTAAAGTAAAACTTTTGTTATATAATTATAATCGTTCACCAAACTTGAGCATGTGTCAGCTATGTATGTATTCAGAAAAAATAATATTCGGTACCAAGATTCGGATCATAACATAGTCCATGATTCAATTGTAAGGAACCACCCATAGATTTCAATAGTTCACAAAAACTATTGAATTTCTGCAAACTTTACTTTAAACTTCGAATTTTAATTGCTTATTGCTGTTGGCTTACAAGAAATTTATTTATCTAACTGAATTTAAGCAGAACTGTGATTGATAATATCGGTCACTATCTATTGTTATCAGTCATAAACACACTTCACATGAGAAAAGGATGAAAAATTAATTTAAAACAGAACGAAGTAGAAAGAAAGATCTACTAGAGCCGGCTTCAGGTCTCTCTAGCACATCCAGAGATGCAGTGTTGAAAAATATCAGAAAACAAATCGATTGAATACCTTAAATAATTAACATGAAGAAAAAATGAAAGCCTCTATAACAATTTCATCTAAGTTTTGTTACTCACATTCATAATAAGCGTAAAATCTGTATTTCACACACTAATAATAACAAAAGAATATTGCTTTAAAAAATGACATTACTCACACAATGATACTTTGTCAATCCATACTTTAAATGTATTTATAATTTATTGTTCTCACCTTTTTATCATTTTCACCTACTAATGTACATACTCTCACAACCCTGTCCAAAGAGAACCCCATCCCGTGTATTCTCTGACACATGCCTTGAAGTTTAGGAGGCAACTTATCATAGGGATTGGGTAAATGCTCAGATTTCTTTCTTCTTCTTTCACTCTTCTTCTGTTTGCTGGAAGATGGCTGTGGAATGTTTGCTGGAGCGGGGCTTACGTTGTAAGATCTATCATTCATTTTTAATTTGGCAAGCTCTTCGTTTAGTTCCTTGACAATATCTGGTACACTACGGGACCTTGACTTTACTATCTGAGAACTGGGCAGTTCCTCTACTTTACAAGTTTCCGTTTTTATAGGATTTTGTGGTGAGTGCTCCTCAATTTCATTGGGTTTATAGCCTAATTGATACTGAGCTGGTGAATACTGATAATAGTAAGGCTGGGATGAACACTGTGCATCATTAGAAACTTTTATATCTGCTGATATCACTTGATTACTATAATAATTGGGTACTGTGTAAAGGTTAGGAGAGGCATTGTACTGGTAATTCTGTGGAACATTAGCATTATCCAATTCTGGAGCATAGTAATTACTTGGATAATGATGTGTATACACCAAGCCTTGCTCTTGTGTTGGCTGCTCCACATATGAATTAGGTAAGTAAGAAATTCCTACTTGAGCTTGAGAAGCACAGTTAGGTACCCCATAACCTTGCTCTATTAAATGGGGTTGTTGTGAACAGCTGACAACAGATTCTTTTTGACTTTGTAATACTTGAGCTAGTAACTCCATATCATTTATAGTTTTCAACTCAACATTATCAAAAGGGCTGGATGTATCATTTTCAAAATCTCTATACGTCAAGGTGTCTATATTGTGATTGTACTGAATTTTGCTCACTTTAGCATTTAATTTGTATGTTTCTAATGGATCAGGGTCATCTAAAAGACTTCCTTCATAATTAAACTTAACAAGTGTTGGTTGAAGAATGTTCTGCGACTCATTTGCAGTTGTTGCAGGTATTATATTAATATCTGTTATGCTAACTTCAGCGGTTTCTTTTGTATCACCTATGTTAATATCACAGTTAATTTCATTTTTCTCATCCGAAGTCAGTGGATTTATCTCGTCTGTACTAGGGTAAGACACTTCAGACACATTAAGTTGTTTCAACCTTTCTTTTTCCTCTGCCAAAGCTATGGCATCCAACTTCTTCTGTTTTGCTTCTTCCAACAGCTGTAATCGATGTTTCCTTTCGTTTTTCTTCGTCTCCTTAATCCTTCGCAGCTCTTTAACCTTGATAAGGACATTCGACTCGAAACTAGAACAATATTTAACGTTGTCCACAACATTTTGAGCTCTAATTGGGCATTCTATTAAGGTGTACGGTAGCTCAATACTTGGAGGTTTTTTGTATTTTTCCGATATTTTAACGGGCACTCCGTCCATGAAATCGCCAAAATGTGACATATCAAAGCTGTATGTCAGAGCGATAATCAAACAATGATAGTGCAATGTTTGTTTCTTTCAAAACTATCACTTTTAAGGTTAAGTAGCCACCGTCAGACGTCATCACTTATCACATCAGAAATTTATGATGTATAAATCACAATTTCAAGACTTCTTTCATCTTTTCTAAACAAAAAATGGTTTTGTAGATGTTTTTATTAAATTTCTCAATTTATTTGTGACTTTGTTAGGATTTTGACAGTCTTGTTTGGTCATTTGTCAAGCCTGTCACCATTTTTTTTTTTAATTTTGTGGAAGTTTTACAGACCTTTAGGTGAATGAAGTTAGCCCCTCAAAAAAATTTTTTTTCCTATTTTATGCTTATTTTCTATTAATACGTTTGTTCATCATTTGTTCATGATTGTTCACTGTTAATAATTGTTTGTTCTGCATTTATTTATTTAAAAACAATATTTAAAAATATACCTACAAGTTAGCCCCTCTAATGCAATTTTTAATATTTTGTCATCCTTAATGACTCGTAAATATTCATTTTCGATTGTTCTTATATAAAACACGTTTGTTCTCTTTCGAAATTACTCGTTTTTTGTTAATTTACTATTTTTATTAGTTGAATAAATGTATGCAAAATATGTGTACTGCGCATGCGTCAACTATAATGCCTAAACTTTCTACGCGGTTTTAATCGTGAAAAAAAAAACAAATATAAGTCCTGAAGGAGCAATTAATTGGTATACAGTTTAATTTAAAAAATTAAAAAATAAATAAATGAAATAATGTGCATTGGCGTTAAGTTAGACCAAATACATTTTTTCCATCCTCCTACTTATCGTTATGAAGGTATAAAAAGATAGGGAGTTCACATAGGTAATATAAACAAATAAGTAAATATGTTCATTATTTATCTTTCAAGAGATAATGTAGGTATACATTATAATAACTTTTTTACACAGTCGCAATTATATTCCTAACATAGTAAAATAACATTTTAATACGATAGGTAAGAGGACGGAAAAAATGTATTTGGTCTAACTTTACGCGAATGCACATTATGTCATTTACTTATTTTTTAATTTTGAAGTGAAAACTTCTTTAGAATCGTTGTGATTTCAAACCGGATGCAACGGAAAAAATGACAGGTAAGAGACACAAATACAAAAATGTGTAGGATGAAGCCAGCAAAGAATGAGACCGAAATATACATACTATTTAATACAGCGCCATTTGTGAAATTTTTTAATACTAACGTGTGTATGAAAGCTCTCGTAGTGAATTTTAATTTAGGATTATACGTGAAATTAAAATATCAATTCACAGAGGGCGCTACCTTACAATTATTTACTAATGACAAAATTTTACATACACTTAAGACGTTTAGGATAATTGTATTTTAATTTTGGAAGGTTTCACTTCTACCACGTGTGAATTGCACACATTTTGTATTTTTTTAATTAAACTGTATACCAATTAATTGATCCTTCAGGATTTTTAATTGTTTTTTTTTCACGATTAAAACCGCGTAGAAAGTTGAGGCATTATAGTTGACGCATGCGCAGTACACATATTTTGCATACATTTATTCAATTAATACAAATAGTTAATTAAACAAAAAATGAGTAATTTCGAAAGAGAACAAACGTATTTTATATAAGAACAATCGAAAATGAATATTTACGAGCCATTAAGGACGAAAAAATATTAAAAATTGCAATCGAGGGGCTAACTTGTACATATATTTTTAATAATTTTTTTAAAATAAATAAATGCAGAACAAACAATTATTAAGAGTGAACAATCAAGAACAAATGATGAACAAACGAATTAATAGAAAATAAGTAGAAAACAGGAAAGAAAATTTTTTTTGAGGGGCTAACTTCAGTCACCTAGACCTTTTACTTCAGTGGGTATGTAGTACCGTAATTAATATATTAATCTGTAGTGGAAATCCAATCTATTCTTTTTTTTTTTTGTGTGGCAATTGGTTTCTTGTTATGCCATAGCTGCCAGAGTCGTGTTTAAAAAAAAATTTAAAATGTTATGGAAATGAGATAAAGAGACTGGGATTAATTTGATGCATAGAAGGTTTCATACTTCAGCAGATATTGAAGATAACATGATCCATTTTTATATATTAAATTGAAATTAAATGAAACGGTATTAGATGGGATGAAATAAAGTCTCAAGCTACTTCTACTGACTTTGTTTCATTTTCCCACCTTTGTGCACTTTCACAGATGCTCCTCCTCCTCGAGTCGTGTTCCTCATGTCTGAGGGTCGTGACCACCATCACCCATGAGCTTCAATCTTAGGATCTTTTTCCACTTTCCCCTGTCCACGGCGTCATGCAGCGCGCTGTACACTGTACTGTCCACAGATGCTAAACAACTAAAAAACTAAAAGCCAAAATAAAACAAATTACACAATTTTACTCCTGGCATTCCCGCCAAAAAATTCGAAATCTATTCGTAGGTACTAGTACCTCCCCAAAAAATGCTCCAATGAGAATTCCAAAATTTCCGAAATGACAATTGGTACCTACCTACTTCAAATATATTACAGAATTGATCTGTCAATTTCAGCTCCCTGATCAAATCCTCAGAGGAAGTATTAAAGTATTACTAGGTAGTGTTTACTCTGAGATGAGATTGAATACTTCTTGCCTTAGCAGAAAAGAGCTCACGTCATGTGACCTGCCTAAAATCCTGTTTCCCTTTAAGCTCTAATAATTTAAATTATTATAAAATCATAATGGTTTTATTAAATTTGTAATAAAGAGTCACATTTGACAAAACAAATTAATAATTAAAATAAAACTAAGTCGACCTTCAATTTCTGGCTCAAAATAGAATCATCAAATTTTTGAAAATCTTTAAAATTAAATCACGTGTGACAGCTGAGAAATGACCGTCAGATGTCACTAGTTAGTGCTACAAAAGTCATGGCGGATTTTTTTCACAAGTTTTTATAGATTTGCCGTAATTTGTGGGTAGATTTATTACTACCGGCGTCGAAAAAAATTTTAATTCTATTAACGGCAACAAGTAAGCGATTAGTGAAATCCAAAGTCAAAAGAACGGAAACTTTGATTTAAAAAGCGACCCAACACAAACGTCTCGAATTTCTGTGAATTAATGATAAATAAAATCGTTCCAATTTTTAATAGGACGCTACGGACTCTTAAAATAATTGTTTTTCGCCNGATTTATTACTACCGGCGTCGAAAAAAATTTTAATTCTATTAACGGCAACAAGTAAGCGATTAGTGAAATCCAAAGTCAAAAGAACGGAAACTTTGATTTAAAAAGCGACCCAACACAAACGTCTCGAATTTCTGTGAATTAATGATAAATAAAATCGTTCCAATTTTTAATAGGACGCTACGGACTCTTAAAATAATTTTTTTTCGCCTACTATGACGCAATAGGCTGTAAAAGTGTGCCTTTAGATTAGCACTTCATACAGGTTAGTATGCCTTAAATGGGCTGAAATGATACGCCGGTCGAGTGCTTAAGTCACGGCTATTTTTCAGATATCGAAGATGAACGAGGGTGCGCCTGTAATGTTCCATGCAGGCGGTGGGTACGGTCCGGGTGTTTACGTGATGCCGATGGAACGGCCTCGGCAGTATGGGCTGGAAGTGGTTCCTACGAACGTGACTGGCACAGCTTCCCCCTCGACCCCGAGTACCCCACGTCGCTGGCAGCGCCGCGACCGACAGAAGGATACAGCATTTGGATATGATTCAGATGACTCCAGTTTGTCTAGCAATGCTTCTAGCTCCAACAAGTCTGGTGAAAAAGGTAAATTTCTCATAATTATCTTAATATTTTTTCAAAGATCAATTTTCCTTCAAAAGCGTTAGTAAGTATGTACTGAAATTATAAATACACAATTCAAAATATAATTAGAAAAAATACAATATACCCTCATTACATGTATCTACATTAATTTGTTTCAATTCTAAAAACAATGTCAAATATAAATTACTTATTTCCCATTGCTTTTAATTTTGGCTGTGAATAAGCAGTCCTCATTTTGTAGCAATACAACCATAGAAAAAACATTTTCAATACAATTATTATTTAATTTCTTAAAATTATTCTAAATTCAATAATCAATTAGAATTAATTATATTTCCATTTAAAACATTGTGTGCTCTTCTTAGAAATGGTTGCATTTTATAATTTCATAAAGTATACATGTTTTTCTTAAAAATAGTAAAGAATATTTATTGTTTGATAATTTTTATTTATTTTAAAACAACCATGAAGAGGAAAATTTACCTTATTACAATGCAATAAAGACTTGGCAATGTTTGGATTCTTATGTTAGTTTGGGTTTAGATAACCATGTAACTATCTAACAAATTTGGCCCTGAAAATGTCAGAGATAAGTGAATAGATTTTATTGAATGTTGAAAAGCAATTTTTATGTAAATAAGATGATCAAAGTTCTAACGACTTGCATGAATATTTTACCAAAATTAGTTTATTTATTAAATTAATTAATGTTAGACTACACTAGACAATACTGAACTTATTCAGACACGCCCAGCATGCATTCATCATCATCATCATCATCAGCAGCCTTTATGAAGTTCCCTTCAGCGTGCATTGAATTCTCTTATGTATAATAGTATTAAATAAATAAAACTATAACTTCTGAAATATAATTCAAAATGATAAAGAATAGTTACTATGAAAGAACAGACAAACAATGAATACATGCTCTTATTATTGTACACCTTTAAAATTATATAGATGAACATAATTTGGTTTGATTTATTTTTGGTATATAATTGTTATGTTGAAAAATTTATTAACGAAAATCGGTTTTAGGGAGTGCCTTGTGCTGCCAGCACGTGTATTTTATTTACTTTACTGTTTGTATTTACATCAGCTTAAAGTAATATTTGTCAAGGTTTGAAGGGGGATCCATTAGGGAGAAGGGAGAAGTCACGAATCCTTTGCACTTAATTAACATAATGAAGATAATTAACAATTGTTATCTTAAAAATAGTTATTTTTATTACAGTAAACATACTGTTTTTGTGTAAATGTAAGTACATTTATTTGCATTAAAATTTTTACAACAATTTATTTAACCATAGTTAATTTCAAATCTAATTAACTCTAGGTAACAAGGGTGATCATAAAACAAAAGATTAGTGTTAAAGGTTTAAGTACAACTGAATAGATAGCCATTGTATACAACACTGTGCTTGAGAAGCCAAATCTAGGATAAGATATGACTTATCTTAGTATGCTTCTACCAATCCATTTTTTTTTATTAAGTGTCATAGCAACATCAGACCAGGCTTGTTTTATTATGCTCATTGATAAAACGAAAGGAAGTAAGGTTGTTTGTTGAAGTATTATAAATACACTAGCACTAGGATGTATCTGAAGGCTATCATAAAATATCCCCTTCAAATGGGGTATGAAAAAAGGACATTTCGGGAGGTAGCTGATCTCATACACATATCTGTGCGATAAAAAAATAAAAAGTACCTGTTCATTCTTTAATAAAAATATTGTATATTTATGTGAGACAAAAATCAGTCAAGACTTTGTTGTAACAAAGCTCAAACGTCTTTGTGAAATTGTAGTCTCGTTTGTTTCTGAGCGTCAGGAAGAATTCTGTGTGTTTAGTGCGAGTTTTTAACTTCTCGATCGCGTAAAAGCGAACTCTAATTTGTATGGAGTTAGACGAGCGCCCCTAGCGGCAAACGTAGTGGAACTGTTCCAACTCCATACAAATTTGAGTTAACTTTTACGCGATCGACAAGTTAAAAAATTCACACCAAAGCATGCCCAGCATGCTGACACTCTTTTCATACCCCAATGGCTGTGTATTATTATGGACACTTCCTATTTGGCGCGATTACACATTTTTATTTGGAATCCACATGAGTGTAATACGTCATTACTAGCACTCATAATAGTTCTTTTTGATTCACGTTTGAATGACATCACGCATTCTTGTGTATATCTCAAAATCAAACATTTATCTAAACGTAACACTCAATTTACGCAGTTACTATTCAGGAAATTGTATGATAAGGTAAAGCAGCATGTAAGTTTAACAGTGTTAAGTTCACGCCATACTGCTAATTTGAAATCGGCCATTTGGTAATATGTAGTACATATTTACGTAATGGTTGAAAGTGCTCACAGCTGCTACGGTAACTACATTTGTAAATGAGTGCCTAATGTGCGTACGTGTCTTTAATTAAGAAATATGGTATTGAAAACTAACTATCATTCATCATTCTCCTGCCCTTCTCCCAGTCACCTGGGGTCGGCGCAACATGTTTTCTCCTTCCATACTCCTTTATCATATGCCATTTTTTCACTCACTCTCTTACACATACCGCCTTTCACGCAATCCATCCAATTCTCTTAGTCTACCTGTTCCTCTACCTCTATCCTCTTGATTATAGTCTCTATTGAAAGACCAACCATAAACTTAATATTTTTGACTGAATTGGTGTTGCAGTACTTAGCGCCCCAGACTGTTGCGCTGAGTGTCATTGGTTCGATTCCCATATCAGGCAAACATTCGTGTGATGAACAAATTTGTTTGCTTTTTATCTGGATGTTTATTATCTATATATGTATGTATAAGTTTACAAGTATGCTCCCAGTATGTGCCTATAACACAGAATTCTAGTTTGGGGCCGGATGATTTGTTCCCAGTTATTTATTTTGTTTAAAATTTGGCTTTACGTATTTTTATTTATTTTATATGATTTTTTGGTACGTTGCTTAGGCAAACGAGCTCACGTCCTACCAGTGTGCTTAGTTTGAATTTTTTAACGTTCTCGATAGCGTAAAAGTTAACTCAAATTTGTATGGAATTGGAAGGTTTGCCCATGTTTGCAGCGGCAGTTGGAACAGCACTCCTAGCGAGGAGTGCTGTTCCAACTGCATACAACTGAGTTAATTTTTACGCTATCGAGAACGTTAAAAAACTCGCACTAACCACACTGGTGTTAGATGGTGACTAAAAACACCCCAACGTGGCTCTGAAGGAGAAAGCCCTTCATTCTGAAGATACACGTGGCAGTGAGTTGAAGGGTAGCAGATAAGGTATAGTTATCTCTCACGCTGGTTCCCTCGTATCTTTCCACTAATAACTGGACCGACAATTATCTTCAGTTTCTCAGACATTAATTAGATTCATTCAGACTGACATTTGCCGGTTTTTCTATAAAGACGAAGTGAAAAAATCAACAAAGATAATGCCATTTGTATATCGACGCTTAAAAGGCAAAAGTGACTAAGCGACAATGCGTGAACTTTTTTTTCTTTTTTTTTTTATGTAAAAGGGATCATTCACTGAACAGCCGGAGGCTTTGTTCGATGGATCGGACATATTGTTGTTAGGATTTAGTATATAAAGAAATCGGTTAAATTATTGCTACGCGGTTTTTGCCGGGCTTTTATATCCGCCTTGCTTCTCGGACCCGTCCCATACGCATTGCCTTTCGAACTTCGATCAGCAATAGTACTATTAGTACTATTTATTACTATATAGTTACTATTGCTGATCGAAACTTTCGAAAGTGTAACAGCGACCACAAGCACTAGAACGATTCGCAATACTCATTAACTTCTTTGTAAAACTAAAGACGTAGAAATACGCGTCCCGAGCTGCGCAATGATGATGGCGTCGTCTCAATGCTCTGTTACTTGTGCAGTTCAAATACTCAACTGAATAAATAGAAACAAGGCGCAAGTCAATTCAAGCTACAAAAGTAATTGTTCATTCTTCTTCTCAGTCGTTTGCACTCTTGGCCGAGTGGTCGTGGTCATCATTTCGGGTGGTGGTGCGCTTCACCAGACGACGCCTTCCTCGCGTACCGCGTCCCTTCTTGTGCACTCGTTGACGGGACCGTTTAGAGTTGCTATTATTTGGTCGGTCCATCGTAACGGTGATCTGCCGCGCGGTCTTGTACCCTCAATCATGCCCTGCACCACAAGGCATAATTACCGCTAACATATACACATTTACTGGTGGTAGGACCTCTTGAGAGTCCGCGCGGGTAGGTACCACCGCCCTGCCTATTTCTCCCGTGAAGAAGTAAATGCGTTTCGGTTTGAAGAGTGGGGCAGCCGTTGTAACTATACTGAGACCCTAGAACTTATATCTCAAGATGGGTGGCGCATTTACGTTGTAGATGTCTATGGGCTCCAGTAACCCTTAACACCAGGTGGGCTGTGAGCTCGTCCACCCATCTAAGCAATAAAAAAAGACAACGTTTTCACACAAGGGTTTTCTTGCTGATTAGTGTGCGACAGAAGCTTTTAGACACAGCATCACATGTGTTATTTGATTGGCCAGGGGAATGTACGTCTAGCAACCCAGATCACACGGCAGCGGGGAACACGGCCCAGGTTCTGTACAACGCGCGGGAGTGGCGCGGCCGGCGGCGGGACGTGAGGCCGCAGCGCCGACTCGCACCGGAGCGGTTCTTTAAGGCCACCTATCCCTTTCAAGTTAAGTTCACACCGGATGACCTTTTAAATGGTGAGTCGAGTTTGAGTTTTGCTTTCTTAGATGTTTACAGGTTGAAGAACATCTTTGTCCAAACGGTTCGTTGATGTCCGCGAGGCCACAGTCTGCAGTTTCGTGATTTTAAAATTTAGACTTGAATTTTTTGTATTCTTGAAACACATTGAAATGTACAGAGATAGGTTCAAATTAAAACGAAAATGTGCCTTAATAAAAAAAAAAACTAATTTTATTATTTGTAATCATGTTTAATAAATAATATTTTTTCCTCCGAGGTGAAATATGGTTCCATTAGACTTCGCGTGACTAGAATTTCAATGAAGGAAACTATCCTACCCTTATTAAGCCGGAGTTAGTTTTGTGTTGGAAACAGCCAGGTAGCACCAATTCGAGCGGACTCCCCCAGAACTTTGTTTTCAATTTAAATTGCAAGGCTGCGAAATTGTAAACCCTAGTCCTACCGCAACTCTGTTTTTAATAACGAAACGCTTTCGTAAATTCCCTCGACCGTCTGGTTGCAGGGTCCAAGTACGACACCCTGTCGCAGGAGATCTGGGACAAGTTCGTCAAGTCGCAGCAGACTGAGGAGACGTTCCGGAAGAAGATGAACCTTTGGAGATATCTATATGTCACTATCAAAGTAACAACTCTAACGTTTTTATACAATAAGTTGTGCGATTAGAATTTTGTGCCGAGCTGTCTGTATCCGCGGTGGGGGACAGGTGTCCGCGGTGGGGGGTAGGTGTCCGCGGTGGGGGGTGGGTGTCCGCGGTGGGGGACGGGTGTCCGCGGTGAGGGATGGGTGTCTGCGGTGGGGGACGGGTGCCGCACTCGTTGTGCTTGTGAACATGTTACGATGCAAGCTAAACTTTCGTTTGCGTCCCCAGTTTGGCGGAGGGGGGTGGTTGGTCCATTTAAGACATCGAAAAAAGAACAGAGTAATTAGGTCGTGTTAGGGCAAGCCCCATTGGTGCTTTGCGTTGCGACGTTTCATCGGATTAACGGACAAGAGACGAAGCGGGAGGGAGGGTCACGCGCTGCGCTGGCGGAGCTCTGGTGCGACGACGCCACGACGGAGAGGGTTTCATTGGTTGAGGGGTAAACTAGACTGTCACATTTTTTCGATGTCGTGCGTCGACGTAACGCAAGTGTGGGATACAACCCATTGATCCGTTGGGACGACGTAACGCAATGCACCAATGAGGCTTGGCCCTTACTGTCGAGTGCACGGCTCAGTAATTTGACACGAATTACTTCGTTTTTTTTTTATTGTTTATGGGTGGACGACCTCACAGCCCACCTGGTGTTAAGTGGTTACCGGAGCCCATAGACATCTACGACGTAAATGCGCCACCCACCTTGAGATATAAGTTCTAAGTACCCTTCAGACCGAAACGCATTACTGCTTCACGACAGAAATAGGCAGAGCGGTGTTACCTACCCGCGCGGACTCTCAAGAGGTCCTACCACCAGTCCATCAATTCATTTGAATTTTGCCGTCTCAAGCCCAGCGAGCTAGTAGCCTATTGCCAGTGTCAATATTTGTTAACGTGTTGCCGGGAGCGCGTCAGTGAGTGGTGGTGCGTGTGCCGCAGACGATATTCCCCCGCTACGGGCTGTACGTGGTGGGCTCCACCATGTCGGGCTTCGGGCTGGAGTCGTCGGACATGGACCTGTGCCTGCACGTGCGCGCGCACCAGCACGTGGAGCCGCGCCCGCACGCGCTGCTGCACCTCAACTACATCCTCGGCTACATCCGGAGCTTCGACCCCGGTCAGAACTTTCATTCGTGATGCTATTTGAAAAGTTTTAACCAGTTTGTTGTTGGTCTTCAACCGGTCCTTTTATTTACGATCCTGACAGGTGCGGAGCTGATCCAGGCCAAAGTTCCGATCCTGAAGTTCCGCGACGTCCGCAACGGGCTCCAGGTGGACCTCAACTGCAACAACGTCGTCGGCATCAGGAATACCGACCTGCTGCACTGCTTCTCCAGAAGTGAGTAACTGGCGAACGCTACGTATGAAGGAGTGGTGAGGTAGTGCACGTATCGAGTTGCCGCGTTGTGTGCAGTGGACTGGCGCGTGCGGCCGCTGGTGGCGCTGGCCAAGCTGTGGGCGCGCGCGCACGCCATCAACGACGCGCGGCAGCGGACGCTCTCCTCCTACGCGCTCACGCTCATGGTCATCCACTTCCTGCAGTGTGAGTACTATCTGTGTGCTACAGATGATCTCACCTAATTATTGTAAAGGTACATTTTCTTTATTGCCATTAAAATTACCTAGAATGACCTAAAAACCCAAAACCAGATGTTTTATAATAACATCAACCATTGACTTTAACATAGAGCTAAGTTAAGCAGCTAGAGAGCAGTGCGTGTCCCGGTGTTGCAGGCGGCACGAGCCCCCCCATTCTGCCGCGCGCCTGCGACGTGCTGCGCGCGCCCCCCCGTGGGCCCCCCGGCGCGTCCCCCCCCCACAGCCGCGCCACGCTGGGGGAGCTGTTCCTCAACATGCTGCGCTACTACGCCACCTTCCCGTATGTACAATAACAACTAACTTAACTAATGAATACATAATGGTTTGTATATGTTTGTGAATTCATTATTTGGTATGTTTGTTTGCAACTAAAGTCCTGAGCAACTTAATCGATTTTGATTGTTGAAGTGAAACTTCTTTAGAATCGTTGTGATTTCAAATTCGATGAAACGAAAAAATAAGTCCATAGAGACAAACACTTAAATGTATAGGATTCAGCCGGCGAGAGAATGAGATAGAACACATTAGAGTTAGTTCTCAGTGTAGTGTTTTTTTAATACAGCGCCGTCTATGAGATTTTTTAATACTACTAACGTGTGTATGAAACCTCTTGTAGTGAATTTTAATTTAGGATTATACGTGAAGTTAAAATATCAATTCACAGAGGGCGCTACTCCATACTATAAAAGATGATTTACTAATGACAAAATTTTACATATACTTACTTAGACATTCAGGATAATTGTATTTTAATTTTTGAAGATTTCACTTCTACCACGTGTGAATTGCACACATGTTTTTTTTAAATGAGTATTTCATCACTTAAATCCAGGACTGGGTCCGGCAGGTGGTGCTGCTGTCAGATTCCAGACAATCTATTCCTTAGTGCAGCATATTCTTAAGACTAACTGAAAACCAAAGTAAACAATGTATGTGGGAATGAGTTGCTCGCTCCGGGCATTTCAATATTGTAATAATTGTTACGTTATTATACTCATTGTAAAAATGAATATTTAAAAAAAATCTAATATTAAAAAAAAATAAAAAAAGACATGCCCGCTGAGTTTCTTGCCAATTCGTCTCAGGACGGAGGCTAGTTCTTGTGAATTGGCGGTAGTTCTTTTGATGTTCAACAAGTATTTACATACTTTCATTTATGTTGAATATTTTTTTTTTGATTTGATTTATGTGCACGTGGCTTGGCGCAGGTACTCGCGCATGGCGGTGTCGGTCCGGGCGGGCGCGCGCGTGTGCGTGTCGGAGTGTCGCGCCGCCCGCGCCTGCAAGAACGACCCGCACCAGTGGAAGCTGCTCTGCGTCGAAGGTACGCCCACGCCCCCCCCCCCCCCCCCCCCCCCCCCCCCCCCCCCCCCCCCCCCCCCCCCCCCCCCCCCCCCCCCCCCCCCCCCCCCCCCCCCCCCCCCCCCCCCCCCCCCCCCCGCCACTACACAGCGCCGCTTGCGTGTTGCAGAGCCCTTCGACCTGACCAACGCGGCGCGCTCCGTGTACGACCCGGACACGTTCGAGCGCATCGTGAGCACGTTCCGGGACAGCTACAGGCGCCTGTCCGCCGGCCTGCGCCTCGGCGACGCCTGGCCGCAGCGATGATACCGGCCCCCGCCCCGCCCGCGCAGCCGCCAATGAACAATACATATAAAGAATAACTAAACGTGTAGCACATTCTAACAAGGTGCGGCGATTGTATCCATGGTTTAGACCGTGACTCCGTCACTTCGAGGTCGACCCGTCTGCGAGTGTACCCGGGGGGCTAGCGGGGGGCGCCGCCCCACACGGTACCCAAATGCGTCCCCCCGGTGCCACGACGTACTAGGTTATTGCGGAAAATAGCTTACAAACATAGCTCCTAGCACTCACAGCTCCACTAAATACTAAATTATTATATATTTTATGTGCACGTTTTTTTTATATTTGCCGTGCGGTACTTTAAAGGATGGTAATAAAATCTTGATAGAGTTTCCCAATCGGAGGGACAAGTGTGCAGCTCGGCGCCGGGACCCGCCTCTGAGCTTAGTGTAGCTGGAGTCGCGCGGCAGCCCCGCCCCCCGCCGCTCCACCCCCGCGACCCCCAATTAAACTTTAATAGATTTACTAGATCATGTACCTCACTTTTAAATAAAGTTATTTAATTACAAATAGGATTGTTTATTAAAAAAATGTAAGTAGGTCCCGCGTGCGGCGGGCGGGAGGGCCCCGCTCTCCCGGAGAATTTTACTCAGGTTGTGGAAAAGTCACGTGTACTCGGAGATTAATTGTTCAGTCAAATAACGACGGGCCGATGTCGAGGGATTGTGTTTTGTTATTTAGTCTCTTTAAATGAAACTGGAACACCGGGTGCTCCGCGCCGCGTCGGCTGCTAGCGGAACTATACAAAGGAACGGGGGGCGTGATCGATATTGTGTGCGCGCCGGGGACTGCGGGGGGCCGCGGGGGGACACGCACCCCGCCCCGCCCCCGCCCCTCCCCGCGCGTCCCGCCGGCGCGCTCCTGTGCAGGAAACGCATTCAATTGTACGAGTGTGTCTTAAATTAAAATGAGATAGTTTCATCCAAACTTTGAATAGACACATTAAGTACATTGAGAACAGTGAACCATTTCTCTCTTACTTTGGAACTGAAGACAGGCTCACCGCAGCGGTGCCTAGCAGCTAACTGACGTTAGCAATGGCCGGCCAACCGCTCGCTAAAGGCGATACCAACTCGATGAGCTAAGGAAGAAATGTTCAATGTGCACTCGGCGACACGTTCGCAATGTAGATGCACGCCGGCACGTGCCTCGTGACAACTAGTACAAGAGTCTGCTTACATTAGTACTGACGCTACAGTTTTGTATGCAGGACAAACTCTCGTCGGCTCGGCGCTCCGACCGACCAAATATACCGACCTGCTTACATACGTGTGGTTAACGTTCACAGAATAGTATTTAATTATCTACTTATAAATGAGAACTATAGTCTAGTTTCGACCTAGTCGAATAGCGTTACTCTATTTATGTTGGTATAGGATATTTTAAGAGATGAAAAAGATAAAAAGAATAATATGGCAATTAAAAAAAAAGTCGCATAATATCAAGTAAATCGGTAGAGAAAAAGATTAGAAACGTCGCGGTAGTCGCCGGGGTCCGGCTCCGACCTAAGACTGAATTGTATCATAATAATAATATATTCGCCTCACTAGTATCGACGTCGACCCATCACTAGAGGTCCGCGGACGTGGCGACATGTTGCGTCCCAATACGTTTAATATTTATTTATTTTTTCGTTCTTTATAAGTTATTTTAATATATATATATATATATATATATGTTTTTATGTACATAGTTAAGATAAAAAAAACATTTTTAGTATCGTGTTCGTTTTGTAAATATGTGTACAGAGTAAATGACAAAAATAAATATATAAATATGATTATATTGGAATGTACCCGTCGACGGCTCGGCGCGGAGGGTCCGCGGGAGCCTTCACGAAAATTATGTTTGAAAGGGAAGAGGAAAACCGGCAGTCGTCAATGCAAATTGTAGTACATCGGTACGCCGTACAATGGCACGTGTCATTAACAATTGTCAACTTTAAAAGTTGCATTTATTTATTCTTCCTAATGTATGGGTGCTAGTAGTGAAACTCGCGTGATCCCCGCGGCGGTCCCCCCGGGGTGGTCCCCACGCGGCGGTTACCCCGGGGCGATCCCCCCGCGGCGGTCCCCCCGGGGGTCCCGCGGCGCGCGCCATCGAACCGATATGTTCCCGCGATGCGCGACGCCGGGCGCCGCGGCACACGCACTCACATTGTTACTCGGAATTTTATTATTTAGCTGTTTAGTACTTGTTTGTTTTTAATTTTGAATGTGTTATCGGAGTTAGTTAAAATTAAGATAAATCTATGGTAATGTTAGAAGTTATAATGAATGATTTAAAATCACCATCTTAACGTTGTCCCGCAGCTAATGTTGTTGTCCGAAGCCGGCTGTTTTATATAATAATAATGTTATTGCGTAAGTTTTATAAAGATTTTACACGAGCGGCGCCGCGCCCTCGAATAATACCGAGAGTACAATAAATAATGATTTTTAATTTAAAAAACGTGTTATTTGTAAGAAAAACGGTAAGGTTAGAAAAAAAAGTCTCAAAAACACGATTCTAAAATAATAAAAAACATAAAATTCGAAGAAACATTATAAAAATGTGAAAATAAAATAAAAAAAATAAAAAAATAAAAAAAATTAAAAAATATAAAAAAAAAATTACAAAAATAATTGACAGTCCAGAGTCAGATTTTAGTCGCATGCTCTTCACTTTTATATAAAAATTTGTTCATAAATCGCTATCTACAAATAAGTTTTATAGATTTGTTTAAAATTGTTTTAAAAAATTATGTGAATATTTACTTTAAAAAAATACCTGAAATGCCTCATTAAATCATTCGCTTATGAATTAACTGTTCAATTAATCTTTCATCTGTCCCGTAACTTAATGGCTGTGTATTTATTTTAGATCATAGGAAAAATATCATCTCACTCTGACTCTGGATCGAAATGTTGCGACACCAACATCTGTTGTTCTATGTATAGTTCAAATTGGTAGGCATTCATATTTTTGAAGACACTTAAACATATATTTATAATATCTATGCGATAATCTTTATGGGACAAAAGATGATATTTTTTCTATGATCCCATTACTTTGGTATCGGGGGGCTCTACAAGTCTGGTGACTTGCAGAGCCCCCGCGCGTCCCAGACCCGCGACTTGTTCGAATATTTGCACTTATCAACCAGACATAACGTGGTAAAACTTAAATAAGATCTAAAAACTAAAATATCTTCCCATAAACTTGGCTCAAATATTTTCAAGAGCTTGAAAAACGTTCATTAATCTCGAAAATCAAGTAGAATTGAAACCAAAATATTAATTATAAACCTATAATATAAAATGCATTTTAATCAATACAATAATTATATTTGTGTGCAAAGTCAAATTCATTCTCGTTTTGTAGAATTTGGTTTCAAATTGATCCGTGCATATCCTTCAATATACATATAATTTCAGTAAAGGAATCATGACTTCGATTTAAAAAAGTCATTTGTAATTAAAATGTTACCTACCTACCAAATATATATATCTTGGTAAGTTTAGTCTTTAACAGTAACCAAAAGTGTTTTGGGCGTGCTAGCAAAACTTGTTTATATTGAAGCTCACCAGTGTGCTTAGTGCGAGCTTTTTAACTTCACGATCGCGTAAAAGTTGACTCCAATTTGTATTGAGTTAAGACAACTTCCGTTTGCCTCTAGGGGCGCTGTTGCAGCTCCATACAAATTCGAGTTAACTCTTTTACGCGATAGAGAAGTTAAAAAACTCTCACCAAGCACACAGTACAATGCAAGCACCATTATGTGTGTGTGTGTGTGTTGTAGTAGAGGGAGAGAAGTGTAACTGTCACATTTCCAAAATAAATGGTGCTTAAAAATACGCCCAAATTGATAAATTTTAATATGTAATACTAAAAAAGTTTGCTATTTGGGTGACATTAAGTTGGTTGTTTTGGGGGGACAAAAATATAACAATCACTGCCAAAAAAATTAAAATTGGGGATGGTAATTGGGAAGCTATTTAATTGTATTTATTCTACTGTAATATATTTTGGCCTAAAGTTCAAAGTGCGTTTATAGATACTGAAAGCAATAAAATGTTGTCCATAAGTTTTAAGCATTAGATTTTTGAAGACCTAAGTAACTTCTATTGCTTTGTCTGAATATTATGTAACATGTCCACTAATACAGTTCATTAAAATGAAATGCAAAACAATACTAGCGGGCTGTTATTTTGAACTTTTTAAATTACAGTTTACTTATCCTATTGCAGTTAATAAAACTGGTTAAATTGTAAGTATTATAACAATCCAATTGTTTCGAACTCTCTCGTAGAAATTAATTGCGCCTCCTTCAATCGCTCATAAATTCGTAATAGAATGGTGGCCAAGTTCTACCAGAAGTCCGCCTTGTTGCATTATATTTTGATGAACACATTGTATCTGTCGTTGGACAAAATGAATTGTAAAGTGGATATTTGGAACTGATATTAAATAAAAATATACACAACTGTTGTCGTTTTTAATTGATTAACTGGATGGGTGATTTCACGCCACCTGATGTTGTGGTTAACAAAGCCCATAGACAAAAACGTGAATCTTACCACCCACCTTGAGACCTAGTTCAAAATCTCAGTTTTTACAGTACTGTAGCTGCCCCACCCTTTAAACAAGCGCATTACTGCTTCATGACAAATCGGCAGGTGATGGTGGTGGTGAATTCGTGTAGTAATTAAAGCATACTAAAAAGTACCGATAATTAGAGGCCCTAGTGGGATTAAATGCCTGATTGTCTCGATTTAAGATTACACCAATTTAGAAGCGGATATAAAAATCCCGTAGATATTGAGAGATACCAATAAAGCGAATTCGACCCGGTAAAACAAATTTAATGCGTCACATGAATAAAACAAAACTAGTACAGTAACAACTACGTGTATAAGTTCTAAATAGTAATAAGGTAATAGTCCTAATTAATAAGCATGTGGCGCGGCGACGATACGAAAAGCCGTGCTGTTGGTGTGCAAAAGGGGTCACCCTGTTCCACAGTCCGAGAAGACCGTTTGGATCATCTCGACGGTCCGTGGCCCGTAGTCGGAGTCCACCAGGAGGCGAGACCACGCCTCGAGCACGGCCCGCCGAGATTGGAGCTTCCTCTTAGTCGGAAGGCGGCCCGCTTTGGAGCGGAGATCGCATGGCCACGTGTAATCCGCGGCGAGCGCCCCCGCCTCCAGGTCCCAGGGAGGCGGTCAGGCGATGGCGGTTCACATCCGAGCGAACCTGCACAATAGGCCCTTCCACCAGTAACTACATAAAATCACAAATTTCATGCACGCGGATCTATACATATATCTACGGATATCTACACATTATTATTCGGAACTTAGCACGCGCGCTCGCGAAGCAACCGGACAATGAAGCGACATGTAATAAATGAAATCTACGTCGACGTGCCTCAGTCGAGCAACAAAGTGGCCGCTATTTGTTTTGCTAAAAGGCGTCCGTCGACTGTCGTTAGCCTCGCGCACTGTGCACACACGCGTAGGTGTTTTGTTTCATGCCTCGCTCAAGCGTAATGTTATAGCTTATATATGTTATAGATCAGTGTTTGAAAACCCCTTCTTGTAATGTTATTTATAAGGATAAAAGCAATCGGCTGCCACCGCAACTCGTCCGTGAAGCGCCACGATGTCTCATCTCTCTACTCTACTGCACGAACGAACAAATGCCTCGCGACCGCTCGCTGTGTGGATCAGTCACATGAAGAAGAGTCGACAGAAAGCACATTACTTTTAACCTTAAACAAACACGAGCCCCTGTGGATATTTAGAATAAAACTAGGTTTGTCTCTAGGTAATTAGGGGCCGCTGATGGAAAAAAAACAAAAAAGGTGAGGGAAAGAGAGGTTTTTGGGGTGGTAAATATCTTAACATTATTCATTACCAACTTCTAAAATATTACGATGGTGGTATAATAGTTACCATTATCCAATACTATTTGAACAAATTCCTATACTAGTTGTTTTCCCTGGATTTGCTTGTGTAATTTAGGTAATACAAAAAAAAAGGTGCGTGTACTTATGTACGCGCGTACGAGGGCGGCACTGAAAATTTCGGGAATTAACGAAGTGACACAACATTACTATTTAAAAATGTATTTATTGCTTTTCGAAGTATTCTCCGCGAAATTTGACACATTTTTCCATACGATGGAACCAATCATTGAAGCAACCATTCCATTCGGAAGTTGGGGTCTCCAAAATGGCCGTTTTGTAGGCGTCCACAGCTTCTTCAGGTGATGAAAATCTCTGTCCACGCAATTTATTCTTTATTTTAGGGAAAGTATAGAAATCATTAGGGCTTAGGTCAGGGCTGTACGGCTGATGGTCTAATAATTCTATGTTTTCTTGCTCTAAAAACTCTTTTGTTCTGTGCGCGGTGTGAGAACTCGCATTGTCGTGATGGAGGATGATGCGGCGGTTGCAGTTCTCTTTACGGAGTTCAGAAACGACCTGTGGCAAACAAATGCTAGCATACCATTCTGCATTAACCGTTCTTTGTCCCTCAAGAGGAATATAGAGAAATATTCCATTCCCGATACTTTTAGTGCAGCCTAGTAAGAAGTTTATTTTTATTAAATTTATTTCTTTTTTTAATATATTAAATAATTAATAATAAATATTTAACGTTAATAATTTAATAATATTTAGTATTAATTATATTAAATAATAATTTTGTCATTAATATTACTAAAAATGAATGCTAATAACACATTTTTTTACGAGTGTACATGCGCGAAAGTTCACCAGCGGCTATATTCAGACTCGTCAAGTTACGTCGGTCGTATTGTAATGAGCGATTTAGCGGGCAACTTCATTTCTGTTAAAATTTTGTTTCACGGTGCGCGCGCATCGTAAAATTTCACTCTCATCAATTTTTCACAACGCGCCTAAAGTATAACTTCAAAAATAAAGGTATTAACATTTTTTCGAATGTAGATATGAAAGTAAGAACTATTAAGTAGTAAGTAAATAAAATATAGTCCTGTTCATAATAAGTAGAGAGTTTTATTAATTGTGAAAAGTAAATAATTATTCTGCTTGAGTTTCCTCCAGAGTGTGAAAAAGTCTGAAACATGACTTGGCACATAGAGTCACTTTCCACATAGAACAACATATTTTTGATCTCTTTTGCAATTTTTGGTGCTGCAAAATCTGCACCGCTTCTATGTGTCACTTTCTTCACTGGTATACGTTAAACGTCTTTTCTTCTTTTCCGCCATGTTGAATAAGCGAAATAAGCAAAGCTAAAAAAATTCAAAAATATGCATCATTCACAATCCAAAAAAATACATATTATTTTCATATTAGTAAATCCACTATACATGATAATAATATATTACCGGATTTTTAGATGCAAAACTACAAGAATTTAAATAGTTTATGAATCTGAACGCAAAAAACACTTACAAAAGTAAGTGTAACAACAACCGTAACAATTTTACAGCTCGACCAAGCTAAGTTTGCACCCCGCATCGATTACGTCACACTGCCGCTTAGGTACAGTCTGAAAAAAGGATTCGCTATGACTTTAAAAATGTAAACAAATGTTTGTTAGATTTTACTTTGCATTTATTGTTTTTAACAATATATTATACATAGGTACATTAGAATATAGCGATAACGGGTTTTTGTATTAAGACCACCCGGGCGTTCTTGCACTTTTTAAATTTCTATCCCAATTGCTCAGTAATAATTTTCCTTTGTTTCATTTTCAGGATTACTTCACTGTGTATCACCTTTCCTTTCATTTTGTTGCCTAGTAGTTGTAGTTGTTGATGATTAAAATGCTATATCAGGATCAAAATGATTGAGTCTTGAGGGTATCTTTGTTATCCAATCCAAATAGCTATGCAATTAGCATTCCAGTTTAAGCAAAAAAAGCAAAAATATGTGTTATCCTTATTTACCTAGAAATTTGCGGTTATTGGGGACGAAATTAGTGTTCATAGAGAAATTTGTTAGGGCTGGCACTCCTTGGTTTTAATTTATTTATTTAGTTGCACCAACAAAGTGATCATCAATAAAACAATAAAAGTTACCAGCTGTTATCATGCATATTCAGAGTTGTTTTGTGAACCTTCAAGATTCTACTATTACACTACAAAAAATGAAAGATTTTGCATCGATTAAAAAACTAGTATTGCGCGCCGAAAGATTTTCCTGGTTTTTTTCCCCAATCACCTCTCGATCCCTAATCGCCCCATTTTACGGTAACTTGTATGGACGGGTGACGTTGATGAATAAAATGTTGCCAGTAGTTGGATTTAAAAAAAGACGTTTTAACTTAATAGCAAATTCAAATGGTGCAAGAAAAATACTTTCTTAAACAAAAAAGTAGTAGGTATTAGGCAGGTATACCTTTATTTTAATAAGAGTTAACTTATAATAAAATGCTGCAGAATACCAGAAACATGACATGGGCGTCAGTAAAACAATTTATTCAAACTATTTACGCTACTGAACAAATAAAACTACAATATAGTCATTTATCTTTATTATCTCTGAATAGATTATTCTATACAAAAGAAAACGTAAGAAACATGAAATAGTTCACATTACTCCGTGACAATGTGCCGACCTCTCTCCGTCCTCGGCAGAACATTTGCCGCTCGACAAACTTCTACAAAACCAACTAATTTGTGAAATTAAAGTCTCATCAATTTTTTGAGTTTCTGCTGCACCAGAAGCGACTGGCGACTGTCAGCGAGTACAAACTTGCAGCTCGCACTGCACAATAACGACACTCATCCCAAAGACAAAGTTTTCTATTGAGGACAATCTTCAAATAGTCGAATACAAGCTGTATTCGCACACCTTAAGCTAAATAAGACAAAAACAAATCACTGCTGCGGCCCGCGGGCCCTGCCGTGAGGAACTAAACTTGGTCAGAATACTGTACTAAAGTTAACTCGAGAGCCCTACTCGTCCAAACTATACAATTCCATTACATTCGCCGGCGCCCCGCCCTACGTATCCCTGTCTCACATTCACATACACTAATTCTACAATATATTATATTGAATAAGATTCTAATACTTAATTAAGACCACAAATCATTGACGGACCGGACGCCCAACACTGAGTGAAGTTTTTGGACAGCTTTCGTCTTATTGAACGAGATTGAAACATTAGTAAATGAGACAATAAAGCCGGTGCCCAACCAGATCACACAACTCAACGAGAACGTAAATAAAACTTCACACATGTTGCCTCGGGCAGGCATGTGCAACTTCACATCTTTACTTTCTCAAGGAAATCAAATACTTTCATACTTCCTACTGTTGTCGCGACAGAGATAGCATTGAAATCTGTCTTAGTCATCTCATTAGAGCGCTCCCACTTCAGAGCTCTCTAGTCTGCTCCTTGTGTGTTCCATCAATTTGGATAATATAAAAAATATAAAAAGGAAATGAATTCAATATTGAAAATTACATGTATATCTGGCATATACATGACCAGATTCCAACGATATCGGTGCCGTGTGGCTATCTATACTTAAGGGTTATTGCTAGCGTGTGGGTCGTGTCTTCTCAATATAGATTACTTTTTGTTGGTGTCCGAACAGTCTGATTTTTCCTCTGTCTTCACTATTTTCCCCTCACCTGAAAATTTAACATTTTTTTAAATATAACCATAAAACGAGCGTAACATTTTGGAAGTAGGCCGGTAGATGTCGGTATTGTGGTGCGGATCAGAGTGCCATGTCGTCAAGGAATACACAGAGAGAGAGGGAACACATCGGAGCACCGAATAACTCGACGCTCTTGAGCGTTACCAGTCATCTGCATAATCTACGACTCGTCATCAGGTCTCATCATGTCCGGCGCCGCGCACTGTCCGGGAGGTGGTGTTGCATCACAGTGTCGTGCGGTTACAGAGTTTCGATCATCGTTCTCTCGACGAGTAAATTAACCCACCGACAGCCCACTGAGTTTCTCGCCGGATCTTCTCAGTGGGTCGCGTTTCTGATCCGGTGGTAGATTCTGCGAAGCACGGCTCTTGCTAGGGTTCGTGTTAGCGACGTCGTCAGGTTTGAGCCCCGTCACTTACTAGTTAAGGTAACGCTGAAATAGCCTCTCAAGGCTATGTATCAGCTTAGGTAGGAAAAATAAAAGCAGTTACCGTTGGGCGCGTCGTGCTCGTTGTCAGTGTTGGAGCGCCTGCGCTTGCGCGGGAACTTCCAGGCGCCCGTCGCGTGCTTCGCCTTGGGGAGCGGCTCCATGTCGAGCACCTGCACAGATTACATTATTACATCTGCTCTACCAACCAAACATTTCTCATGAACTCAAGCAACTAGTGCAGTTTAGAATTAGCTGCATGTAAATCACTGTGCTCACGTACCTTATGAATTTGCCTGAAAGCAATCTGTCTTAAGAACTGTTGCGCTGAGGCCGTCAGATCTTCCCGTTTCTGCGGCGGCATGTTGCCCAGCGCGTCCTGGTACAGAAACTGCCCTGTATACATGGTCGCACGGTACGCGGCGGGCGCGTAGCTTATCAATGTATATATTATTTTTTGGGAATGGCAAGTTGTGGATGGGAAACACTGAAGCGAACGGCCAGTGCTAGCAGTACTTAATGGACTGGTGATAGAAGCAGATACGCTGCTAGTCATCAGAGTAACCATTCTATTGTAATAATTGCTGTCCTGTCTATTATAGGCAACGCAAAGACACCTTTTACCAGTATGGACTGGATAGTATGAACAAGTTTATAACTTATTACTTAATTATTTTTTCCTACCTACTCGCTGATACTCTAGGTGGCTATTTCAGCTACGCGCGGGCGAGTAAGTGAGTTAGTTCAATACCTCAATCTGAGAGAATTTGCTAACACTAGCCTTAGCAAGAGCAGTGCTTCACAGAATCTACCACCAGATCGGAATCGTGACTTACTGAGAAGATCCGGCGAGAAACTCAGTGGGTGCCTGTGGGTTAGTTTGCTCGTAATCGAAAAGTTCGACGAGCACTGTGACTGGTGCTTGAAGAGCCTAAAAGCACTGAGAGTGGATCTGGGAGAAGGAACGAGATATGTTCCAGCCGAAGTCGGCTTTACGTTGCCCCGTCGCCTGGACAGATAAGATTACTTGATCGTAGAAGTTGTTCGTATTGAGAGACCAGGGCATTCTTCTGTGTCGTTTTATACATATCCGTCTGGGTGTGGTCGGGACGTAGCCAGCGGAGGGGTGTCCTTACAACGAGTTCCTTCTCGCAGGGGTCCCGCAGGCCGGGCCCGTGTTCGAGCAACAGGCCGCCGGCGACGGCCTCCATGAGCCTCCGCAGCGCCTCGCCGGGCGACAGAGCGGCGCCCGCGGACTGCACCACGCCGGCCGTCAGCAGTTCCATTGCCTGAAGAAGTAATTACGGTGCTTGTAGATGATTGAATATCTATTATTGCCGTCTGGGTCCCGAGCAGGGCCTATTTGCGTTTTATACTCACGTATGAGTTGAGCGGCGTCCAGTTCGGGATGCGCCTGCAGAGGTCGCGCAGGATGCGGATGATGATGACGCAGGACTGCAGCGTGGCCGCCCTAGCCTGTCACACACACACACACACGGGGCACGTGAGCGCGGCTCGCTCGCGGCGGGGCCCGCCCGCTGCACAATGTATTGCTCCACTTTTTGTTTTATGTATTATTATTTTTTATAAATTTAAAGCAAATCAATGAAACGATAAGCGGAGCAATAATTGTGAACACATCACAAACTGCGTTTCCGTCTCTCCCGCTGCCGGCTGACACAGTGCTAGGAAACGCAGTCTTATAGCACTCGTAGCCACATGTTCACGGGAGTCGAGTTTAAAGGGCACATGAAGCTTTATTTACTGCAAAACTACTCAAGATTGTTAAGAAAAATGNAAATTTAAAGCAAATCAATGAAACGATAAGCGGAGCAATAATTGTGAACACATCACAAACTGCGTTTCCGTCTCTCCCGCTGCCGGCTGACACAGTGCTAGGAAACGCAGTCTTATAGCACTCGTAGCCACATGTTCACGGGAGTCGAGTTTAAAGGGCACATGAAGCTTTATTTACTGCAAAACTACTCAAGATTGTTAAGAAAAATGAAAAAAATAAAATAAACATGTGACTAAAACGACGTGCGCACTCCGACTAAATGAATATCAGCGAAGGTAACAAAGGTAAGGTCACAAGTAATCGGACAGATCGTGCAAGCGTGAGGCCGCGGAGCGCGCACTGTATGTAATATGGCGAATGTACCTGGAACCACTTGGCGTGCCGAAGGGCGGCCAACGCGTCCAAACACTTCTGCCGCGGTAGAACATCCTTGTCGTCTCGCTTTATGTCGCCCCCGTCTAGCGACAACACAAAGGGTGTTTGACCATCAACACATCGACGAAAACGGGGCAAACGCGACCCCGGCCGCGGCGGGGCACTCGGAATGCGGTTTTGTGCGCTGGCGCTAATCGCATTCCGACAACGCGCTCTCACTTGACCATGCGTTTTTATTTCAACTTAACAATTTTTTAAATCAATTTCTACTTAACATTAATCCTGAAACGCATGTTCAAAGAAAATTGGGGTAAATAATAGTATTAAAATTTATAATAGGAACAGATAAAATAAGAAAATTGTAAATGAGAAAATAAACGTAGTGGGTGACTAAACAGGATGTTTGCTCCGTTTCAGTAGAGCGATATATTGTGATGATCAAAAATCCTTTCCTTCTCGCCGCCTTACGCTAATAACACCTAAAAATAAGCACCAACACATGGCCCAGTGGGGCGATCAACTTGAACAAATTATCTTTTTTTTTCACACAGAATGTCAGATTAAATAAAATGATAAGACTTTTTGTGGAATGGCAGCGTTACATCTTATAGATAGATAGTTTGTTCTGAGCGCGAGTGAGAGCGCGAGAGAGAGCGCGGGGCGCAGCTACTGACCGGCGGGCTCGCGCACCACGGCGGAGGTGAGGCTGACGAGCACGCCCACGTGCGCGTCCGACACCTGCACGGCGCCCTCGGCCGGCAGCAGCTCCACCTTGTACTTGGGCTCGTCGCCGGGGCCCTGCAACGCGACCGCCAGTTAGTTCCGCGAGGTCGGCGGAGGCGACACGTCCCCGAGCGCGTGCACTCCCACCTTGACTTTGGCGAGGTGGTGGGGCAGGTCGGCGGCGACGCGCTTGAGCAGGGTGACGGTGGGGCGGTCGTGGCACAGCACCACCAGCTGCACGTCGCGGTCGCCCTTCAGCAGCAGGCCCTTGGCGAGCAGCCCCACGCGCATCACGCCCTTCAGAGCGCGGGGCGCGTCGCCGGCCGTGCTGGTGGAACCCGCCTGCTCGCCTTCCGCCAGGAATGAGAACCTACAACATAGGTAACAACAATATAAAAGTTACCAAGCCCACATTATGATCTACATTTAGATGCAAGTATAATAGTAAAAATTATCCACAGATAAACAGAAATTTACATTTACAGTTGAACTAAAAGAGAAAAAATCTACTAGACAAGAACAAAAACATTATTCATTTATCATTCCAAAATGTTGCAAATAGTTGTTAGTTCTATATCTGTCTTGTTATGAACAAGTTTGATCACAAGTCACTGCAACATGAGTGCTCCCACTCAATAAGACACAAAATCAATCTAATGGTTATCAGAGTGTTCAGCAGGGTCAATACATAATTATTATTGATTTAAAAAACAACGCAATAAATCAGATAGATTGTAAACCGTATTGTGATTGAATCCTAGTTCATTCCCAGTCTTGCAATGTTTTTAGTAAATTGGGATGTAATTTCTTGATAATGTGTAACTCGATTCATTTTTATGTTAACAACATTTAGAAACTTTTAATAATTTCAGTGACAACAGTATTAATCATAGTAACAAATCGAGTTTAAATTTAATACCAATATGTTAATTAATATTACTCACAACTGATTGTCACGACCATCTTCTTTGCCATCAGCCTTGTCATCTTTCTTGTCATCAACTTTAGTTTTAGCCGGCACAGTCTAAAATTTTCAACAAATTACATGTTATTAATTAAAATGGTTTTCATTAGTTTCTTTTAAATCATTAGTATCTTACATTTGCAAAGCTTGATTACTTTCATTGAACTATTAATGTAACAGATCTTTGATACAACAATATCATAGAGCACAGGGAGCATGTATGTAATTAATATTTTTTTATCAACAGACTGTCTTCCCACATATTCATTAATACACTCATGGAGAAATTTTAAGTTATTTAAAAGTAACGTTTACTTTCTCCTTTTCTAATTATCGTGCGTACCGACCGCAAACATTTGTAAATCCTAGTTATAACAAAATTTGGAAGTTTTTTTTTTATATTTGGAGTATTTATTCTTCAAAGTTCCAAATATTCAGAATGTAGGTAAAACTAACAGGTATTATATAGGTATTAAGTAGGTAATTATTTTATAGAAACTTTTTTCGTTCCTCTAAATTTGTCCGTGAGTGTATTTGAATGTTAGTCTGTTGCTTGTGGCTAGGCCGTACGGAGCAGGAACCTTTTGTCTGGCGGAGTCAGCGAGCGCGTCGGAGAGCGACTTGAGGGCGCGCTCGGTGTGGGCGACGGCGCGGTGGATGTGCTGCAGCTGCGCGTCTCCCGGATAGATCTCGGCGTGCTTGGTGAGCACGTGCCGGTCGTCAGATGTCTCCGGCCGGCGACCGTAGCCCATACCCATGCCCTGCGACCATAGACAAACTTTTAGTTGATCTGATTCAACAGAAGTCTTCAGTAATTACTTAAAACCAGATAGACCATACGCCAATTATTGATCATCAGCAATAAAAAAATTGAGGATTTTCAGTTTCAGTAACTCTTTAACTATGACCTAAACAAGCCTACAGTCATTAGTGTTTTAATGTAATTAAGTTAATTAAGTATCCTGTGTTATTAAGTTAATAAACTATATTTTTTCCAAATTTCATCTAAATTTGCCAAAAAATGCACAATTTTAGCAAAACATTTACTTTTATAATATTGTTGTGTATGTAGATTAAAAATAATGATGTATGTACTTACATGATGATGATGATGGTGATGAGGACCTCTCCACCACGGTTCGATTCCCCCCTCCCAATACATGCGCTCGTCTTCCTCAATACCCTGGCCATATACCTTGATATTCAAATTAAAACATGAAATTATTACTACATACAACATTATTACCTGCATAATTATATAGTAATAGCTAAAATTTTAACTTCAGTCCAGAACCATTAAGATATGCAAGAATCATTCACAAAATCATTGTGTAACTACAATATGCTGAATATTGCCTATCAGCATTTTGGCAGTCATATTAAACCACTGCAAAGATCTTGGGCCCATCGATATAGTTTTTTGTAATCATTATACAACCTTAGGCTAAAGAAGAATAAACACACACTAAATAAATTTAATAATTACAAATGTAAAATACATACATCATGCATGCGTCTTCTGGCCCAGAGTTCATCTCTCACCATCATACGTTGAGCTTTAGCCTCCGCCAACTTACGCTGGTGCATAGAGGGTTTGACCTTAACCTCTAGATCTGGTTGCACCTGATTCATTAAAATAAAATTGGTATAAAATGAATATTTTTGAGTAATGTTATGAGAATGGAAAGAGTAAAAAAATTGAAAATAAGTATTGTTCCTCCTCATATGATGCCATTAATCATTTGACACACGGATCTCTTGGCGTCCCGAAGACACCAGGCTCGACGCGCATCTCAAACCTTTTACTAAGTAATCATTGGATGAACATTATAACTATATAACACTCTAAGGCCCAAGACAAGTCAGCAGGTGGCTCACCTTCTTCTTGTACTGTAGTCGGTGCCTTCTGCCCTTCATGTGCATTTCCTTAGCATTGGGGTCATTGAACTTGCAATCGCAGAGCTTGCAGTTGAAGGAGAGCGCCTTGCCGTCGTCTGCCCGGATCTCCTCAATGTAGTCCTGTCCCACGGGCTGCACCTCGGGCTCGGCATCGTCGTCCTCCTTCTCCTCGTCCTTTTCCTTGTCTGGGGGCGAGTGTGGGGTCGAGTGTGCGGTGGAGGGCGCGGTGGAGGGCGCGGAGGGTGAGGCGGGGTCGGTGGCGACAGTGCGGAGTCCTCCGGACGACACGAACGCGATCTTCGGCGCGCCCGCCACTTTCTTTTTGGCTGATACATCCAAGTCAAATTTTCTCAACTGTTCATTCATTAGTGTAAAACTTTTATGATCATTAACGAGATTCAAGTTTGATGAGATCCTTTTGCAAATTAAATAATCAATAAAATCTACTCAATTGCGCATACATTCAACATTTACTGAGATGGAAAGTACAGTCATTCCCGACAAAACATCAAATTCATATGGGAAAGACCCAACACACCAAGACTCACAATCTGTACCACGTGTCATGGTATTTGAACAGTGGCAGTGAATGTAACAGAGAGAAAATTTGACTTCATGCTTTAGCCAAGATCGCGTCCGGATACAAATATGATATTGTGTCAGGCTGGGGGACTCCATATGGGCTACACATCATTACAAATATGATCTCCATCATGGACAGAGGTCACATTTNAAAGACCCAACACACCAAGACTCACAATCTGTACCACGTGTCATGGTATTTGAACAGTGGCAGTGAATGTAACAGAGAGAAAATTTGACTTCATGCTTTAGCCAAGATCGCGTCCGGATACAAATATGATATTGTGTCAGGCTGGGGGACTCCATATGGGCTACACATCATTACAAATATGATCTCCATCATGGACAGAGGTCACATTTGAATATATGATAAATCATGTTCAATTCAATGTTACTCATAGTTTCTAGGATAATAAGATTTAATTATCATATAATGTTTTCTTTGGGGTCTAAGACTCGTGTAAATGAAACGAATTTTACAGTTTATAATATAAAGTTAATTTTACAGTTTCATCTCATGTTTATTTTCAACATTTCGACTAGAATATATTTGGTTTTTTGGAGACAAAGAGCAGTACAGTGGTACCTCGATATACAAAGTGCCCTAACAGATGACTGTTTTGAGATATAAGGAATCACACACTCTCACCTCAGACTACACCTCATATGTATGCTTGTTTGCCTCGAAGCATTTTTGCCTGATTTCGAAGCATTTTTGATAAATTAGGTTCGCGTTTTTTGCTTTTTGTACATTTACAAAACATTAACACGTTTATTTTTATAACCATTCCTATGATGATGTCTTCCCTTCACTTTTCTTTTATTATGTATTTTTTTTATTGCTTAGATGGGTGGACGAGCTCACAGCCCACCTGGTGTTAAGTGGTTACTGGAGCCCATGGACATTACGTATAACGTAAATGCGCCACCCACCTTGTGATGTAAGTCCTAAGGTCTTAAAGTTTAGTTACAACGGCTGCCCCGCCCCCACCCTTCAAACCGAAACGCATTACTGCTTCACGGCAGAAATAGGCAGGGTAGTACCTACCCGCGCGGACTCACAAAAGGTTCTACCATCAGTAAAATTTGTCCTTTATAAATAAATGTTTCTGCGTGCAAATACATTTGTCTTGTTGAAAAACACTTAGAAATAATGACTGAGATGGTTTTTGTGGACCTGGAAAGGATTAATGGTATTTCAGTTAATTTCAATGAGGAACATTGCTTTGACATACGAGCAAGGTTACGAAACTAATTAAACTTGTATGTCGAGGTACCAATGTATTTAATAAGTAAATACTATAAAGTACCTAGTATATCCCAGTAGTGTTAATATGTAGTTACCATTGTGCTGACCATCATTAAGTTTTATTTGATTATAAATGTAATGTTTACAGGAAATTCTAAAGTTTGTTATTTATTATACTTTAGTTGAAAACTATAAAATAAAAATGACATACAGAAGATAAAACAGTGAAAGTAGTTTTAATTCGAATCATATTATCATATAGCAGCTATATGCTATATTATAGCTGTATGGCAGCACTGAGACAAATTTAGAATGAAATTAATTATGGAAATATTTATTTTACTAGTTTACGAAGTATAAGCCTCTAATAATTGTCTACAATATCTTTAACTGAAAATGTATTATGATTGCATATTGATAAGCACATTGTTCAATAAATAGATTTCTTAATGAGTGTAATGAGCAAAGAAACCGACCTCCGCCGACTTTAGTGGGTTCCGTGGAGGGGATGGGTTTCCCGAGCATGGTGTGCAGCTTGACGACCTTCTGATGCTTGATGCCGCGCACGTGGGCGGCGTACGCGTCGGCGCCCGTGCACGTGACGTCACACAGCTCGCAGCGCAGCGCGCCGCCCGCCGCCCCGCGCGCGCCCCCCGCCGCGCTGGCGCCGCCGCCCGCCGCCGCCAGCTTCACGGCCGCCTCCTTCTTCTTGTGCTTCTGGCCCTCCAGGTGCTCCTTGTAAGTCTGTCACAACATGTCGTTTTAATTATTTTTTTACTCTAATGATACTTGAATATTCAACTTCATAGCCGTTGTTAATTTCATTTTATTTTTGTATTTGTTAATGCGAAAAGTGACAGTGAAGACAGTGAGTCATATATAAAGCAGCCCACCTGGGGTCCGGCGCAGGAGATGCGGCACACGTCACAGTAATGCAACTGTTGCGCTTTGGGCGGAGGCTTGGCGCGGCGAGGCTGACCCGTTCCCGGCGTTTTATAGTTCTTCCAGCCACTGCGACAAAATTTACATTTTTTACTTTTGTTTTCTCTTAGAATGAAATATTATTATATTCCCACACGATATAAATTAAATTTTAATTAGGGATTAAAATCTTGCTTAAGCACTCCACAAAACAGTGCAACTTCATTTAAATTACAATTATCGACCTTCAGTCATCTTAATGATATGTCATACAGGGTGTAAGGAGACTATAACAAAAGTAAGGATAATGTGGCTTATGATACTAAAGATGAATAATCATATCTGTTACATCTTTGTTAACTTAGTGTTTCTTGAGGTTTAAATGTAGGTGTGTAATGGTGGCTTATTGACCGTTTAGCACAAGCGAGCACTCAAGAGTGCAAAATATAAAAAAACATTGGACTTGACTTTTACAGATATTCTGAAAAATCATTGAAACCTCATAAAATTATAAGGATGTTATTTATTTTTTCAATTCATACTGCTATAATCAAATTTCAGATGATTTCATACCATTTTCGTTATAGTTTAAATGGCAAAATCTGTATATAAATCACGCATTGGCTGAAATTAGAATCCAAGCAATTATTAAAGTGTTTTAATTACGAGTCCTTGTGAAATTATTATGAATAAATATTCTATCTAAACTTTTTAACAATAAAAAAATTATCACCTATATGAATAAGCGAGCTGACGGCGCACCCAGTGTTGTTAAATGGTTACAGAAGCCTATAAACATCAACGTAAAGGTCCACCCACCCACCTCGAGGCATGAGTTGTAAGTCTCAGTTTTCTAGTACAAAGGCTGCAGTATCCTTCCAAACTAAACGCATTACTGTTTCACAGCAGAAATAGGCAGGGTGGTGGTACCTACCACCATAATTCTTCTTCTTCTTCTTTGTCGCTTCCTCATTACTGAGGGTTTTGACCACCTTGGTCCAGTTTTTGCACTAGCTTCCTCCAATATTGCCTGCATTCGGCATAATTACGCAAACAATATTTCTTGTCGGTATGATTTTAATTACACGATGTTATTCCTTCACCGTGGAAGTTATTCTTTTTTTTTTTTTTTATTGCTTAGATGTGTGGACGAGCTCACAGCCCACCTGGTGTTAAGTGGCTACTGGAGCCCATAGACATCTACAACGTAAATGCGCCACACACCTTGAGATACAGTTTCAAGGTCTCAGTATAGTCACAACGGCTGCCCCACCCTTCAAACCGAAACGCATTACTGCTTCACGGCAGAAATAGGCGGGGCGGTGGTACCTACCCGTGCGGACTCACAAGAGGTCCTACCACCAGTATTCGTGAACATTTGTCAAGTACGTATTTCATCAGAACAATTGGCAGGTACCTGTTTACGGGATTCGAACACCGACAGTCGCATCGCTCGATACGAATGCACCGGGCGCCTTATCCTTTAGGCCACGACTTCAAACATATATATTTTCGATAATCGCACTGTAAACAAGATAATCTTGAGTGCAGTACCTACTTACTACCTGGGTCTCATTAATTTGTATTCAAACAAATCTTCGTGTAGTTTAACACAGTGAATGAGTGGGACAAGGCAGTACGTACGTGCCGGGCGCGGCCTTGCTCTGCTGCGCGACGTACATGGAGGCCGCGTTATAGAGCGCGGTGTCGTAGGCGGTGTTCCCTCTGTTTGTCGTTTCTACAATTTAATTCATTGTTTCTATTTAATTAATTGTTTAACTTCACAACTTTACATAGACAACTACATGTTTTCATTATTCATTTGTTCATTATGCAGAAAAACTACAACACACTTTACTGGGGCTGATTTACTTCCCTCTTGGCATAATAACATTTCTATGTGACAATTGTTATTATTATTGTGTTCGAGCCTTATGCTATGTTCATTAATCGTTACTCGTTGCCATTTTCATTTAAATTTCATCAAAGTTGAGTAAAAGATCTACATTTTGTTACATTGTGTCTATTAATGTTGGATCATCAAAATTCATTCACTCAGACACTTCACATGCGTACTTTCAGTAAATCTTATATGTTCTCCCAAAAACCCAAAACAATACTATAATATAAGTCTTAAGTCAATAATTTTCGGAGGTAAAAAAGAGCATTTTCAAGTGACTGAAATATTATTTCTGGAGTCTGCATACTCAGTAAAATTACAAGCCTTTTTTTTATATTTAATATCAAGAAACCACATCACTTGTTGCAAGGGCACAGAATCCTAGAGCTAGGTTCCGCACGATATGGAGGTTGAACAAGTCTGAACATACCCTATTGCTTCTAAAGCACTGCTGGACGCGAGTACTCATAATGGATAAGTGCGTCGTCTATTATCAAAAATGGCAATCTGTGCATTTGGACAAAAAAATGTTATTGATATGTCAATACAGATTGATTTGAATATAATCGTCTCCTTCAAAGAATACGGTTCAAAACCTGCATTAAATTAAGGTTAATAGTTAACCTGTTATTTATCTAAGATGTCGTCCCAAAGAGTTTTGTGACTGCCAATGGAATACAAAGTCAATAATTCGTTTTTCTGATTTACCAATAATTGTCCAAAAGTCAGATTGCCGGCTTTGATAATAGTCGACTCAAGTGACGTCTATGTAGCAACTATATATGGAACGAATATGGAAAAAGGGTTCATGAAATTAATTGTAATTCATTCTATGCACATACCATTGTATGCATTTTGTATGTGGAATATATGCTTTTAAAAAAATAACTGAATACTTATTTTGATTTAATTAATAACCTTAATAAAAACGTATCCATTAGGTTTTTTAAACTTGTTTTAGTCAGTTTTTGATAGCCTTACTGATAGATAATGAGATATTGGAGCACTCTAAATCCTATAAGGGCTAGAAGTTTAGTAAATTTCTTAATACTAATCAATTGTTCTTTATATATTTTATCTATTTTCAAGTTTTCTCATTCTATTAGTTATAGGGAATTAACAGATTTTATAACTGTTTAATTACATATTTTGCATATTCATTTCATATTTGTGTTCACTTTTAAAACCATTCCATGATTAAAATTTGGCCTGATATTTCAGACTCCATTGTCTGTATTAATGTGTTGTAGTTTTTCATAAACATTGTGTTTGTTTGTTCACAAATTTTATCTACCTATCATGAAAGTTGTGTGTACCAAGTCTGAGACACATTTTGACTAATTCTTGATGGAAAAATTACATATACATTTCCCTATAATCTGTTATAATTTATGGTCTACATGAAATTCTTATTATTTAATAATAAATTTAAATTCCAGGACAAGTACCAATTTTCTTTACACTATGCGTTGAGATTCCATTGTTTAATAGTTATTAAACTTGCAAAAGGAGAATGCCCATAAGTGTATGGATGTTGGTTGCATTTGTTTGATTGTATGAATATAGGATTTTTAATGAAATATAGGAAGGATGTTTTAGTTTCTAAAATTAACCCAGTTTATTATTTGAAGTTAATGAAAATTATGCTTTTATCAAAATGCCACCATGGTGCATTTATTAGTTTCTTAATTATTTCTTGAAGAGAACTGAAAGATTACTTCTATACTATTCAATGAATAAAATCATTAGTAGAGAAATGTGGTGCTAAATGGTGCAGTGCTAGGAAAATGCAAGTTTTATTTTCTCTACATCTTAATAGACAAATATTGTTTGAGAATTGAAATTCCTTTGATATTGGTGCAACTTATTTACTTTCTCAAAAGTAAATAGTATATTATCAAAATCACGATTTGTATCAATTTAACTAAAATTATGAAAAATCTTAGGTCATCTAGATTATTTGCAGTGATTAAAATTTGGGCATTCTCCTTTATAAATACTGCAAAAAATTTGCATAATTACTGGCAGTTGAGAGTGCTGATCCCGTACGAGTTGGCAACACCATCCTGCCTATTTCTGCCTCGAAACAATTGTGTTTTCCGATTTCGAGGGCAGGGAAAGCCGTTATTCCGATGCAAGAAACATAACATAATAATCAATTATAGCAATACAACATTTGAATTACAGTCAAACCTGGGTAAGTGGGAACTGGATAAGTGAGAAAACTCTATAAGTGAGAGTAATAGCCAGGACCCATCATTTTAAGCTCCCAAAACCTCTATTAGCGAGAAACAGAAACCTCTGTAAGAGAGAGTCGTTTTCCCCTCATGGACCTCCGTAAGTGAGACTGCTACTTATCTATACTTCTATAAGCGACAGTGGAGCTTTATTTATTTATATTATTTAGGAGGAACAAATGACAAAACAAATTACAAATTTAACCTATATTTTATGACTCATTCTTAAATTTCGTGGAACTTCCTACCATTGTTTTTGTATTGTTTTCTCGTCAATATTGTACCTATTGTATTTCGTGGAACTAAATAACGTTATTTTATCAGTCTATTCGGAAGGACACGTGTGAATGTGTACTATCCTGTTTGTGGGACTTACTCAGCTTATTGTTAATGAATTGCGAAAGAAAGTTCTGTTCTGCTTCATGTCAAAACGGAAAATGAAAGTACTGTCATTAAGTGATAAACTTAAAATAGTGAATGTGTTGAATCCGAAAAATCGCGAAATGAAATTCAGAGGGAGCATTAGCGAGAAACTTGGGTTAGTGAGAAACCTCTATAAGCGAGAATGAGATTGTGCTCCCTTGAACTCTCGCTTATCCAGGTTTGACTGTATTTGCATTTAGTTGCACAAATAAACTTACGTTTCTGTGTCTGTGCCGGGGTGGCAGTGTATGCCTGTGTGGGGTAGGAAGCAGTGGCAGTGGTGGCACTGTACACTGCTCCGTAAGCAGGTTTTGCTGCAGCCGCTCCCCTTTGCGCTGCACCCTGGCTGTATGTGCCCTGTGTATTGCATAGAACAAGAGATTTCCACAAAGCATCTAAAATAATTACAATAAAAATCTCATTTCATACCATTGTTTAAGAATTAATACTTTTTTAATATATCAAAGTATAAAATTTACTATATTATGGTAGATAAATAAATAAAATATCAAATAAAGAAAAACCAATGACTTCTACATAATTTACTTAAATTTAACTTCATATTATCAATTATATATGAAACCTTTGGTTTTTACTGTCAATAACCCTACTTTGAAAGTCTAAAAACATTATTTAAGAGTTCTAGGTTTATATTAGCAATAATTAAGAAACCACTCAGATACCAATAAGTCAGAAGACTTCAGTTTTTCCAGTTTCGTGCAATTACTGTAAATATTTCATATAGTACTCCAAACAATTAGTTGAGATTTTCTTATTACTTCCATTTTACTATTAAGCCACTACCATCAAACTCAGCATGAAAACCCTTACCTTCTTGTTACATGGTGGCTGACATATACCTTTAAGGGATGGTAACAACCAATAGTGTTTGCTATGAAAACAACAATGTTACACCAACCTGTGCATATGACGCAGGTGTGGAGTATGCAGGTTTAGCTGCAGATGCATCATATGTAGGTTGTGGTTGTGGGGGTGCCGCTGTCGGGTAGGCAGCAGCTGCCTGTTGGTAATACGCACTCTTGCTGGCGTCATATGCTGAGGCCGCTGCTACTGCTGCGTGGGCGTGGGCATGTGCAGCAGCTGATAAGTTTAAAAATGAAATCACTAAGAACAAGTAGAAACCTGAACCTGAACTTGAAAACTTTTACTGAGAACTTAGAACTTATATCTCAATATCAGGCGCATTTACGTTGTAGATGCTATGGGCTCCAGTAACCACTTAACTCCAGGTGAGCTGTGAGCTCGTCAAACCATCTAAGCAATAAAAAATATTAAAAAATACCTTATTTTGCTCTTGATTATATAAACGTTAATAAGTTTCAATTTGTCCTCAAAGTCCTAAGACTACATAGTCATTCTTATACTAGAATAAAAAATGATGAGTAAGACATTTTCACTGAGACAATGATTTAACTTTTTAACAATTTCAATAAAACAACAATTAAATTTATTTAAAAATATTGTTCATCCTCACTGCATTCCTAAGCCATACATACTTCTTACATATAGATTTAGTCATAATGGAGCACAACCACACTTTGCACATTGTAAAACAATATAAAAGTTGAAATAGAAGATTCAACAGTAAAAATATCATTGAATTTCTTGTTAGTTGTAGGAAATATATGAAGGTCAGTAGATCATAATATGGACTATAATCATAGAAGCATAGTATTGTTGATATAATATGATTTCTTTAATAGTTTTGTGATACTTTAAACATTTTTGAATTTATGCTTAATATTTTTGGTAATTTTTGTTACTTTTAACAATGGGCTATTAACTGTGATTTCTATTATCTACAACATCATACAAATTGGTATTCTAATGAAACAAGTGGGACTGCAGTAAACACTTAGTATCTAAACATCTAAAGTAAATTATGTTGAGAATTAAGTAAGCCTTTAAGTTATTATTTAATTGATGAAACAGTGACATGAAAAGTATCACTTCTGCATATAACGCACTAAATGTCTGTTTTATTAAGACTGTCATTTCTATGGGGTGTACAATTTTGCTGTTGGTGTATCATATTAGTATATGTTATGTTATACAAAATTTTGTTTTATTTTTTTTGTAAATGTCACGTGCTTGTTAAAAATAAGAAAAACTGTCTCTCTCATATTGGGTTCGTAGTGGCATCATTAAATCGACAACAAATTAACTTAACAAATAGGTAGGTAGTCAATGTTTATGATTTTTAAGTATATAACAAACTAGGTTTTTATTATTTTAATTGTGAGTAATTACCTTGTGTGGCAGCCGCAGCTTGATATGCTGTATCATAGCCAGTGGCGGCGGCTCGTTGGGTGCCGTAAGTGGCGGCAGTGGCAGCGGGCGCTACGGCGTACCCGGTTTGACCACCATATGCAGCACTAGCTGTAGCCGCGCTATAATGAAACATAACGTAGTTGAAACGCTAAAATGATCGAACGTTTATTGAATTACCGCGATCAATACAATCCAGACGCCATTTTGATTTAACAACTAACACGTCTCGTGGTCGCAGTAGCACCCACTAATCCAACACTGATTTAGCTACAACTAATTCAATTTAAGATTTATCTACATCGTAAAACAACTCACCCGTATTGGGTTCCTCCGTGAGTGAACCCAAAATAATTATTTGCAGCCATCATTTACCAATATTCCGCGTTGAAACAACAAGACGCTTCAGCGGAAAGGCCGGCGTTTTGTTTGTCTATGCCCCATGATGGAGGTAAAAGTCGCCATAAGAAACAGTTCACGTATAATCTATATAAAGGACACAGATAATACCGGTAAAATGGGGCGATTAGGGACAAATTCCAACTTTATGACCAATTTTAAGGTAGTTGTTGATGTATATAATGCTATATCAGGATCAAAATGATTGAGTCTTGGGTGCATCTTTGTTGTCCAATTTAAAATTATGCAACTAGCATTCCAGTTTAAGCAAAAAATGCAAAAATAGGTGTAATCCCTATTTACCCGGAAATTGCGGTTAATTGGGACGAAATGAGAAATTTTGCTAGGGTTGGCACTACTTTTATTTTTATATATAGTTTTAATTAATTTATTTATCTAGTTGCACCAACAAAGTAATCATCAATAAAAAAAAATTAAAAACTGACAAAAGTAAATGGTAGATGTCACCTCAATTATAGGTGCAATCGACAGTGCATTAACAACAAAATATATATATAGTGAGCTTTCTTAGAAACGGTTTATATTTCTCCGTTCTTGGTAAATACTTAGGGGCTGATATTTCTATCTGGGTTAAGAGATTAGGTGTGTCGGTTATTCCATGGATTAATCAGATGAATACCCCCACTCTGAACAAATATTAAATATTTTATTACGTATTACTTAGACATTTTTGTCCACCTTGAGATTTCATTGTTCTTGTTACATGTTTGTGCAAAATCGACTTACTTATATTAAATTGCTTATCTATTTCAACTAAAGACTTGTTCCCAATTTCATTGCTATTTTTAATATTAAGGGATCATATCTCAAGGTTTTGCACTCATTGATACGTACACGCGAGGCATATCTAAAAATAGAAAACACTATGTAACTGATAATATAAATATTTACCAAACAATAAAATAACACATTGATAATTTTGAATAAAAGTTCTAGACAAAAACATCATGAATAAACCAGATTTTTACCAACAAATTAAAAAAATATTGTTATAACTACATAGACAACCCTACAAACCTGTACCTATTTATACTTAGGTCGTTTCCATTTCACGTATTCTCATCCCAATTGACCCCTTTTTCGTTGTTATTTATACCTAAGACGTCCCCAATATCCCCAAAACAACAGATTTTTACATGTATTTTTATTTTATAAAATACATTAAAACTAATAACAACTGAGACTTACCTTTAATATATATGCTGATTCAAGCACTAAATAACGTTTATAAATCACAGTCGTCTTCTATTATTATCAAATAAATAAAAGAGAGCAAAGTTTCTAGCACTAAAATAATTACCACCACAGGAAGTTAATTTGAAACGCGATTTTTTATAAGTTAGCAGCTATTATCATGCATATTCAGAGTTGTTTTGTGAACTTTCAACATTCCACTACTAAACTACAAAAAATGGAAGATTTTGCAACGAATATAAAACATATATAGAGCGTCGAAAGATTTTCCCGGTTTTTTCCCGATTCGCCTTTCAATCCCTAATCGCCCCATTTTACGGTACTGTATTTACTTCACAGTCATAAAATCTTTAACTATCTATCTCTTAGGTTTATGGCGTTTCCTTTTAGATTTCGCCAATGTCAAGTGTATTTAATACTCTGCTTTCTATAGCGGGCTTCGTGAACGAGCAAGGTCACAGATATTCACTAAGAATTAAGTGAGTAGCTAAGAATGTTTGATGACAGGATCTCTGTTGATTTACCTAAAACAATATACATACAACATATATATACCGGGGTTAGTTCGATAACAGACAGACAAACTACAGCTTAATATTATTATGGTTAATGAATGAACTAAGAATATAAACGAAAGGGGAGTTGACAAGGGAAAGAAGCATAAAATCTTTAAAAAAATTATACAGTTCCCACATGTAGGTATGTACTATGTGTAATCATAATAATTATGGTTAAAAAAACATTCTCAGGAAAGTAATTTCGCAGACGTGGAGATAATATACTTCTCCTTTTTTAAGTAAGGCAATTGGCTTCGTAGTAACTATTTTAATAATCTATAGCCATAATTTGGGGACTTTTTGGCGGGAAGGCGAGGAGTCAAGTTGTGCGATTTGTTTTATTTTGTGCATTTAGTCTTTCTTCAGGTTTAAATGTGTAATAACGGTGGTTTATTAACTGTTTAATATCTGTGAAAGTGCACAAATGTGGGAAAATGAAACAAAGCCGTTGGACGTAACTTCTCGGGATCCTCCAAAAAGTCCACTGAAAAAATCTTAGTAAATGACCATTTTACTCATATTATATTTCATCCCATATCATCTCAATTCATTTCATTTAATTTCATCCCAGTTGATTAGTGTCTCAAATTAATCATCTTTATTTCATTTCACTCCATTTTATCATTTTTCATAAAAATAAGAATGTAAATTAAAATAAGACATGACCTAAAAGTCTTCGTTACCAGGTCATTAAATCCCTTAAAAAATAATAATTCTTGGTGACTTTTTGGCGGGAACGCGAGGAGTGAAGTTGTGTGATTTGTTTTATTTTTTGCATAAATGTAAAATAATGCAAATGCAAACGGTGGTTTATTAACTGTTTAATATCTGTAAAAGTGCACAAATGTGGGAAAATTAAGTAAAGCCGCTGGATGCAACTTCTTGGGATCCTCCAAAAAGTCCACTGAAAAAATCTCAGTAAATGACCACCATTTTACTGAGATTATATTTCATCCCATATCATCTCATCTTATTTAATTTAATTTCATCCCAGTTGATTAATGTCTCAAATTAATCATCTTCATTTCATTTCATTTCATTTCACTCTATTTTTTCATAAAAATATGAATGTAAATAATAAGATTTGACCAGTTTAGTTACCAGGTCATAAAATCCCTTAAAAAATATATATATATTTTCTTTCAGTTTCCCGTTGTGATTAAATACTCTTTGTTTCTTGGTATTCTCACTCAAACCAACCACCCTTTTATTTTAAACTCATAGTAGGTATATAGATGGTCATGACCCAAAGGCTTGGAAATCTTGTAGTATGATTTATCAATGCGGTTTCTAATAATCCAAACATTTTCAGAAATATTATACGTACCTATTTCTTGGGGAAAAAATTTAATGAAAGGGCGACATTGATGAAAGGAAGTAATAGTGTTCTGTGATGTCACAGGTTAAGATTTATTAGGCAACACCTTCAATTTATGCCACTGATGATTTTCAGTGTTATTTTTCAATATGTAATCATTAAAAAATAACTACAGTGGATATTTAGGAATGGATATTAGCAAAGCTAAGCTTCGATGCATATTCAACCCTCTTCAAGAATGTTATACTTATTATTAAAGTACTCAGAAAAAACTTAGGAAGCACCAGTATGTGACAAAAATGCCTGTTCTAAAACCACCCTGTTTCAAGTGCTTTTGGGTAGAAATAATGAATCCATGCTGGTTGGTTATATTTAGTGTCTTGCAGAAAATAGACAATGGGGCAATAAGTACAAATTGTTCTGAGCATGTATGGATGGTTGAAACATACAAATTTAACTTTTATTTGATTTACAAAATTAAAATATCTTATAATAACACTATTAAGATTTTTATATTTTCTATTGATATTTCTATATCAATGTTCATTATCCCAGTAACAGTTTGAACATTATTGTCAGGATATTGAGTATGATGAGAGGAACTGAAACATAAAGCCAAATAGTTTAGATTAATATTATTAAACATAAAGCAACACGAGAAGAGCACTAATTTATCAGCACTAAATTACATTGCTGCCCTATGTATCATATAAAAAATAAAATGAATGACACACTGGGAGCCACTAGTGTATTGACAGTTTACCACATGCTACCTGAGCAACCCTGCATGAACACAAACCCATACATAGATTTTTGGCTACTGGTGATTGTTTTTTTTTTTTAAATCATGCGTTGCTATATCTGATGTTAGGTGGCTGGTAGAATTGACATTGTGATGTCTTTTCGGCTGTCATATCCAATTAATCTAGGATGGGAAATTTATCAGTTGTTCGATACAATTGATACAATTATATTATTATGTATTTTGAATAAAATTTAACTTGCCAAAAGTCAATAATATCATTCTTATTAATTATAATGACAAAAATAAAAAAAATATTTCTTTTATATTTAAAAAGTAACAGTGATTTTTGAAATAAGTGTTTTTTGAATTGATATTTTTATTACAACATAGTTACCACTAATCACATAATGTGATTACTTTTTATTAATATTATTACTCCATTAAGATGATTCAACATTACAACATCAATCATAATTTATTTCCCAACTGTGAATAAACTTCATTGAGTTACTTACTCTTTGTAACTGTTCTAATTGACCTCACCAAGTTAAGAATTTGGAATTTCATCGAAGATTGATCTTCAAAGCCCTGGGTTTGGGTATTTGCTCCCCAGCCAACTGTAAGCATAATTTAAATTCTATTAGTCTATCTTAGTTATATCATTAAAACTTGTAATATAATTTAATTTGAGCTTCGATGTACATTTAAGAGTGTAGCCGTATTGAATGGATTATAGGCCCTATGAAATACGCAATTGATAAAAGAAATGCTGAAGCTAGCAAATATTTCTAGTGCCTAACTCAACATGTTTAGTTAAATGAATATAAAAAATGTACTTTAATTAATTAGTCGTTTTTTTTTCCTAAGCTGATGGCCTTGAGAGATCATTTCAGCGTGACCCTAACAAGTAGATGAGCTCAAGGGGCCAAACCTGAGGACGAGGCTAACACTAGCAAGAGCAGTGCTTCACAGAACCTACCACCGGATCGGAAACGTGACTCATTGAGAAGATCCGGCGAGAAACTCAGTGCCCTGAATCTGTGTGTAAGTTCGCTCGTCGAACTCTTCGTCTTAATCGACAAGTTCGATGTGAACGGTGACCGGTGCTTGAAGAGCCTAAAAGCACGGTTAGTGGATTGGGAGGATCCGAAATGACGTGTGGCCGTAACTAATTAGACGACATATGGTTACAATATACAAAAAAAACTGTTCGAAAACTCACTTTTCTGCATGAATCTTTCTTCGTGTAATACACATACTGCGTTGAGACATAACAATGTTGCTTCAAATAAATTCCATAAAGTGAGCATATTTCTTTCCGATTATGATCTTAGTTGACCAAGTTGATGTAAAAACAAGTGTGGTTACTACCTTAAATATATTAAGTACCTATATTAATTAAGGATACAACAGCTTAACGATAACTTGCTGAAAAACACACATCCAACAAACTTGAACAAACAAGTCAATGCTTTGTTGACTTAAAATTGGAAGGTGTCAGTCTTTTTTTTTTTATCACCCACAGAACGGATAAAGAGACTATACAGCTTAATTTTTTTAACCAAACCACATAGGTAATTGAAATTAAAGTTTAGGATGAAATAAATTTAAAATAAATAACATGAAATAAAACAACTCCAAACATATATTCGGTGAGATGAAATAATAAATAACCGTAAAATAGTGCAATTCACCACGTGTTCTTTCTCTAATCCAGCTTCATTTGCGGTATTTGATCTCTTGATCGATCGGTATTTAGTTAACACAGCTTTGTCTGAGTGGTTATTATAATACCTAAAGCATCTTAGAAATGGGAAAATTAAAAGTAGGTAAATGTAAATAGTTAAGAAGGGAATTTATGACCTTGTTACTAAGACTTTTAGGTCAAGTCTTATTTTAATTCACAATTCTTATTTTTATGAAAAATGATATTATGAAGTGAAATTAAATGAAATGAGATTAGTTGATATGGGGTGAAATATAATCTCAGTAAAATGGTGATCATTTAGGTACTGAGACTTCTTCAGTGGAATTTGTAGGATCCGAAGAAGCTAGGTACGTCCAGCGGCTTTGTTTTATTGTCCCACATTTGTGCACTTTTACAGATACTAAATAGTAAGCACTAAAGACAAAATAAAACAAATCACACAACTTTACTCCTCGCCAGTGGCGTAGCTGGGTAACCAAGGGCCCTGGGGCAAATTAAAAAATGGGGCCCCACTGCTATGTAAACTGATTAGGTTTTAGCTAATAAAAATATGAAATATTTTTTTTTATACAATTTTTTTAATACCAATACTTTAAAAATTCTAAACTACTTAAGCTCTTTTTTTGTGCACTGCAGGGCAGGTAATAAAAATATTAAACAGTAACCACATTAATTACAATTAATACTTGGTGTGGGTTTGGGTAATAAAAGGAAATAGAGAAGATTCAAGGGTTTATTATATAATGGTCGGGCCTTTTTTTTTGGGCTCGGGGCCGAACCTCCTACGAGGCCCTCGAGCCTAGGGGGCGCGCGCGATATGTGGGACTAGTCCGCGAATGCGAGACCGCCGGCCCAAGGACGCTTTCAGGGCCTTACCCACTAAACGACTCCCCTGCACTCTTCGCCCAAGTGTCCGATCCCCTCCGAGGTCCGAGGTAACGGGGTTACCATGGTCAACTCTACAACCAGACGGCGCAGCTCAGCCCAAGAACACCCGGCTGACGAAGCCTTCGAGGCGAATCGAAGGCTCTGAAACGTCGGCCGTCTCGGTACGGCAGCCCGTCAGGCCGCCCAGACGGTGCCGCTGGTGTCCTGGAATACCTCGCTAGACCAGAACCAGCCTGCCAGGTCGGGACGCGATACACCGCCTCGGTGTATCGTATCTCCTTGGCGGCGTGCTAGAGTGCTGGTAGCGCATCGCGCGGCCTCTACGAGCTTACTTATTCCTGATACGGTATTAATTTTTTAACCGTTCTAGAAAAAAAAATCAACTCGAATTCACATTAAAACACACCTCGATGAATAATTTATAATAAAACGCACATATCACTATCCATCAAATTGACAACACTGCCAACCTACAGAAATAATTTAGGGGAATTCCCTAAGCATAACATTTGCATTTCTCTCAACTGAGTTGTCATCAATTGTCATGATTAAAGTGGGGTTGCAGCCTGTCATATTTATTTTGAAAATAGGAGAAACTTCCAAAAGTTCAGTTCGATCGAGACTTCTGGTAAGGATTCGAGGGCCCCCTGAGCATGAGGGCCCCGGGGAACTGCCTCGCCTAGCCCCTAGGTAGCTACGCCACTGATTGCCATCTGACTGACAAAACCGGCGCATGCGCAATGTAGGCGTGAGGTGATGGTTTGCTTATTAGATATAAAAATAATAATAATTGGGAATTTAATTGTTTTTATGATCGAACAATCACCAATAGTCGTCGAACAAACGATAATTGATCAAAATTAATTAATCTGAGCGATAAAAATAAAGATATATCTAGTAAGGAGGCCCAACTTAAGGGTGATCATTTGTTTAATTAATTATAAATAAATAAAAGACGAATAAACAATTTTTACATTCGATCATTAACGAACAAATAATTAAAAATAAAATAAATCCGAAAATCAAAAAGAGGGGGGCCAAATTCAGTGAGCCCCTAAACTCTACTCATAAACCTACCGATTTTTCGGTATTTCTACCGATATGGGGTCTGTTCTACCGAAACATAACGATTTTTTTACGATTTCAGAGTAAACATGGAAATTCTCCCGATTTTTCTACCGATTTGACACTTTTAGACAATAATGATCCAAAAAATGTTAAAATTGGCAAAACTACTTCGATACTTCTTAAGAGTAGGCCCTTTCCCAATATTGTTCAGAGCAATGATTTCCAGGAAATTGATATATAGAGTGGCGCATTTTAATGTGAACAAATCAAAACATTTCCTAATGACGTAGAACTATTTTGGGATGAAGTAACTTTACTAAAAGGCTTATTACATTTGGCTGAATTTAGTCGACTGAATTCAGAAGCAAATTTAGAAGCTTCTGATTACACTGTTCTAAATTCAGTTACTGAATCAATTGTCAGTTTAAACGCGACGAAGTAAGACGTGTCGTGTGCGTAAGAGGATGGTCCCAGTATTGTTAAACAACAAGTTTTTTTTGTTTTTTTTGTTTTGTTTCAATTTCTCAAAAAAAAAAAAAAAAAAAACAAGAATATCGGTGAAAAAATACTTATTGTTGTGTGCATTATGAGTGATTTAGAACCAGCAGATTTCAAAAATTATCTATAGATGGATTCGATCTCGTTTGACCTAATATTAAACCTTGTGACACCGTTTATTCAAAAGCAGGATACTATCCTACGATAGTTTATTACATTTCTATTATATAACTATTACATATATAATCCTACGATAGTATAAGTCCAAAAGAAAGATTGGTTGTAACATTAAGATTTCTTGCAACAGGAAATTCGTATCAAGATTTAAAATTTAGTTCTTCAATATTCCAACCCCTGATGACAAAAACTATCCCTGAAACATGTCGGTCTATTTATAAATGTCTGGCACATTAAATAAAGGCCACCGAAATTAATACTTTTTATTCGGAAGCAAAAAACAAACTAAAACTTCCTTACGCACGGAGAGCTATGGGACGACTGAATGAAACCATTCTGTAACTAAATGCGATTACACCTTCCTAAATGCGTTTCTAATTAGGCTTTTAAATGTTCAGTCAGTCAGAAACCATCCTTGCTACTGAATTCAGTAGATTAACTTACTTAATGCGTTTCTAATTAGGCTTCTAAATGTTCAGTCAGTCAGAAACCATCCTTGCTACTGAATTCAGTAGATTAACTTACTTAATGCTTGACTGAATTCAGTAGCGACTGAATTCAGTCGTCTGAATTCAGCCAAGTGTAATAAGCCTATAAACTGTGGCGATGAAACTCAAATGTTTCCTTTGTTGTCTAATTTCATCTTTTCATCTATCTATCTATCTTCTATCTATATATATAGAAATGAATTGCTGTTCTTTAGTCTCGCTAAAACTCGAGAACGGCTGGACCGATTTGGCTAATTTTGATCTTGAATTATTTGTGGAAGTCCAGAGAAGGTTTAAAAGGTAGATAAATATGAAAATGCTCGGAATTAAATAAAAATAACAATTTTGTTTTTCCTTTGATATGTCCCCCATCGGACGGATTCCTTTTGTTTGTTTTAAGTTTATTTTATACAAAAGTTTAGGTCTTTTATTTATCGATTGAGGCACTACGAAGTCTGCCGGGTCAGCTAGTCCTTAATATTTTATCACTTCCCTATTCATCTGCTAACGTTGAACGCATATTTTCACATATTAATCTTTTGAAAACAAAACAGCGAAACCGGCTGTCTACTGAATCAATCACTGGTCTATTACATGCAAAACGACTCTAATACAGCTAATTGTTATGATTTTGAAATTAATTCGACGATGACTGCAGCTATGGCCAAACAATATTGGTATAAAAAATAATTATTCTTAAATATGATTGTTATAAATTAGTATAAGTTTTTTTTTCAATAATGAAACGAATTTGATTGAATATTGTATATTTTTTGACAAATACCGATTTTGGGTATAAAATAGTACAAATATGCCGATTTTAGCTGCCAAGTCTACCGATCTCGCTCTATGACGTTCGAGATCACTGTCCATTACCCATAAAAACAGAAAAATGTCAACAATTGATACCTACCTACTTAGTCTTGTGGAATTTATTTAAGATTTAGAAAGAAAATTTATTCTCAAAAAAAGTATAATCAATTAGACTAAAAAAAATATTCAAGTTACCGTTATATTTTAATAATTACATACGTTTTACAAAATGTAAAAAAGAACTACCTAAAGAGAACACTTACTAACCATGGAGAATTGAAAATTACTGATAGTTAATCAACAGTACTATTTCATCACCTTTGATCACCATATTCTGAACATAAACAAAAAAATTAAGTACAACACCAAAAGCTCTGGGTCACAAAAAATAAGATCAGGTCTAAATATTCCAGAACGAATAAATAAGGAGCATACTCTGCAAATCAACCCCATTATGGATAAAGAAACTACATCATCGAAATCAGAAGAGACTGAAATCAAGAAAGAATACAAGTTTTCTGTATTATTTGAAATTGAAGAAGTTGATGAAGAAAATTTTCCCAAAAATGACAGTCAAGGTGAGGAAGAACCTCTAAGTGATAAGGCTAGTGATGAAGAAGTTGCATCGAAACGGAATCAAAATGAGGGAGATTCTTTAAATGACATGGAAAGCATTGGAGAAATTCCAGCAAGTCATAGTAACGATCAGGAGACTCCTTCACCAAGTACTAGTGGGGACAGAGATGTTGGCGCTACTAGTATTGGTGAAACATTAAAAAGAATCAATGCAGATTTGCTTGTAGAATTTCCTGCCAAGAAGCCAAAGCCTGAGCTTTTCACTGTAGATAAAGGTCCAAAGTGGTACAGCATTGCCAATGAGATGGTTACACCCCCAATAATAACAAAGAATCTACCAAGAGTTTTTGAAGCTCTTCCTATATTTGGTAAGCCAAAAACTAAAGGTCATCTGGATAAGTTCTATGATGATGAAATAAGAAATTTTATTGGATGTGATCTTGATGATGAAGAGTTTAAGGAGTTAGGTAAATATTGCAGGTAAGCAACAAATACATTAGCAGTAACAAATACATTAATAACGTGTGTGTTAATTTTTAAGGTAAGTTTTAATGTAAAAATGAATGCATTTGTACAGATTTGTGTATCATCCAGAATGTTTATTATAAGCTAAACTTTGTGTGTATTAGGTGCAAGGTGTTTAGTTAACATTCAATTGTTTTGCAGCTCAGAATACAAATTTTTCAGAAATGTTATTATATTTGCAGAACTTGTTTTTTGTTACCAGTGCTCACAAAATTATGTATCTTATTTTTTTTGGCTTTCTAGTTATTGCAGCAAACTGAAAATATTTATATAATATCTGTAGTTGTTATGAAGAACTTATCAATAATATCTGTTGTTTATGTTCTTTATTGTTATGAAAGTGTGTATTTCTTCTCGAAGAGCAGTAGTTTTAGTTTTGAATATTTGGGGAATACCTCCGCCCCGGACTGCATTTCTGCTATACATAACCGCTATTTTCTCTATAAAAGAAACAGGATTGGACAAGATTGAAACGAATTGAACAGGAATGAAAACAGGATTGAAAAGAAACAGAGGAAATTAATTTCCTCTTGTGCATTCATACAGAAGTCAGTATTTTGAGACCAAGCAATGGTATTTTTGTTATACTACACTGCATCATTCATCAATCACTGTGGATTTAATAGGTTATGAGCTTTTCCAAACGCCTGAGATGCTGTGACCTCTTTAAAATTTGATTTCTCTGACATAGCTTTAAATTTAAACATCACTCAAGTATTTAATAAATTCAACTTCTTAACTTTTGTATTTTTTCCTATCCTGCTATTTGTTACAGTTTACAATATAAATTTAAAAGAAATCTTTAAAAGATTATAATCATACACGGTAATAAATTCTGTTTTAGCATAGAGCACCTGAAAACAGGCAAAGAGCTAAATTTAAAATGGGACACGCCATCACTTTCGATACTATCATCAACGGATATTCCAGACATAGACCTCAATTCCACTAAATTGTGTACAACAAGAAAGTACAAGATGAGGAACAAAATTAATTTGAATCCATATTTAATGAGACTAAAGTACAGAGGCTTAAGAATGCTGCCTTTGTCACAAGAGGTGATTATGATTGTTTTTTAATTCGAACATGAGGTTGCAGTCTAAATTTTATTGTGGTTTTTCAACCTGTCAAATGGGAACGTATGACTAATTTGTGGTTGAAATAGGCTATTGGTTATTAAACAAATTTATAAATACAAATCACGTGTTTGGTTTTATTATTTCTGGTTTTTAAAGAATAATGATAGATTTCATTACTATTATAATAGATTAAACCAAACACGCACAAGATAATAAAAGGTCTATTTCGTGTCTCTAAACTTGTATGTATTAATAATTCCAGGGCAGCAATGAAGACCCTACATTACCTTGCGAGTTGGAACCAGGGAAGGATCTCATATTCCGGGTGCGAGTCTACAGGCCCTTCATAGATCACTTACACAAGGACCGAAACGTAAGTGTCAGGTTGCTTATGTCTGTAGGATAGCCTTTTTTGTCTAGGTACCTATTGCTAGTAATCTCAGGGGACTATTTTAGCTTCACCAAATGTGTAGCTTGCAGCAAGCTCACAGGGCTTAGTCTTGCTGACTTTGCGACATCTGCCCCAGCCAGAGCAGTGCTTTATTGAATAAACCACCGGATCGGTATCGCGACCTACTGAGAAGATCCGGCGAGAAACTCAATGGGCTCCCTGTGGGCTAAGTTGCACCACGAATCCTTCGTATTCGACAGGCTCGACGAAAACGGAGACCGCTGCAGAATGCATAAAAACACCTGGAGTGGATTGAGTGGATCTGCAATGACGTTGTAGGGTGGCGACAAACGATGTGTCGAAGCTCTACGCACGGCCCTCACTCCAATGGATGTGCTGGCCCGGCGAATTTCGCCCGTGTAAATTGTAATTGGACGGTATTTAAATCGCGCAGTAATTGATTAAATAGTATACGCTCGTAAGTAGCTCGTACTAGGTGAGCTCACGGGGCTCAAACCGGAGTGATGCTAACACTGACCTTAGCAAGAGCAGTGCTTCGCAGAATCTACCACCGGATCGGAAACGCGAACCACTTAGAAGATCCGGCGAGAAACTCAGTGGGCTAAGTTTTACCACTAATCCACCGATTGTGGTCTGGTACCGCTTGGTGTGACGGTGCGGCGGTGTTGCAGACGCGCAGCCGCAGCACGGTGTTCAGCTGCGACGTGGTGCTGCTGGGCCGCCGCCCGCTCAGCGACCTGCGCGACCGCATCGCCTGCAACAACGACCACGACATGCGCGTGGACGTGTCGCACGCGCCCGACGCGCCGCCCGCCGCCGCCGCCAAGGTACCTTGTCGATCGGTTGCTTAACCTACTTATCCAATTTAGATCGCACCAAAATCCGAGTACAGCAGCTTAGGTTCATACCTATGAGGCCAACGACGCGATGACCATTGTAACAGTCCACAGATAAACGTGTTCTTCTTGTAGCGGCGCTCGTGGCGTCCGAGGTCCGTGCTGTAGAACATAGGCTAAGTGAACTCTAATCGATTCGATCATACATTACAGGAAGTGTTCCCATCCGGTTTCTTGTTCATAAACAACACGTTTTACGTGGACACAAGGGAGGGGTGCGTGGACAACAGCGCAGTCATACGCACGTGGGCGCGACGGAAGGGGATTGGAGATTTTCCGGTCCAAGACATGTGCTCCGTCAACCTAGAAGACATCGTGATCAAACTTGGTCACCCCGAGGTCAGTAGGGTCACCACACTAGACAAGTCGCGCCGCGGCTGTACGTAGGGACGGAGTGATCGGGCTTAAGCTCGGTCCCCCCGAGGTCAGTAGGGTCACCACACTAGACAAGTCGCGCCGCGGCTGTACGTAGGGACGGAGTGATCGGGCTTAAGCTCGGTCCCCCCGAGGTCAGTAGGGTCACCACACTAGACAAGTCGCGCCGCGGCTGTACGTAGGGACGGAGTGATCGCGCTTAAGTTCGGTCACCCCGAGGTCAGTAGGGTCGCCACACATGTACGTGGGTGGGTGCGGGCAGGTGTACGTGCACCAGGGCGCGTGCGAGCACGTGTTCACGTTCTCGGAGGTGCGCTGCGTGACGGTGCGGGACCCGCTACGGCGCCGGCACTACCCGTGCCACTCCGCCGTCACGCACAACCAGACCATCTACTGCACCACGTGCGCGGAGTTCGGCGCCAAGTGGATCGTGTCCGGCTGTCGGCGCGTGCCCTTCGACCCCGCCTTCTTCTGCGACACCTGCTTCAGGCAGTACCTGTACAAGGACGGGACCAAGATAGGAGAGTTTAAAGCGTACGCCTATATAGGGAACGAACTCAATCCCTTGAAGCCCTTTGGCTGATTTCGTCAAGTGAAAAAACAATCAACATACCGAGTCAGTGACCATAAAGTTCCAATTTTCTTAATGTATTTTGTGACTGATATTATAGCTTTGAGTAATTTAAGAACCGAAAAGTGTATTCAATAATGTAAGTGGGAGAGACATCAGAGGACCGCGTGACCAGATGACTACGGTGTTGCCAATTTAAGAATAAATGTGTTTAGTGTTGCTTACTACAAATCTAAATCGACGAAAAGAATGTGTTTAGTATTTCCGCGTGTTGTAAACTTGTGATGTAAAGCGTACGGTGACAAACGTCCTCCCTGTCAGCCTGCAGTCGCTTACCGGCACGTGCGAGGCCGTTGACCCCGCGCGTGATTTTATTTAAAAACAATACACATACTACAAATGTATGAATATTGAGTTTTTTACTAGCGTACACTTGTCGGGAGCGTTTGTGAAATGTCTTCGTTTTAGTCTCTTTACACCGTACACGGACATGTAAAATGAACCTTGTGTTATTATTATCAATAAAGTAGTTTTAAGAAGAAATGTTGGTCGTTTATTTTAACTAGTGCTCACCTATACTATTTCCATTTCATTATTTTCTCGATGACAGCTCCTGTGGAAACTTGAACGAGCGTCTTTTTTTAATACGATTTTATAAGCTTCATACGTATGTATGTTTCTAACGGAATCTTTGAACATGATTTTGACCCCTTCAAAACGTAGAATTAACTCGAAATTTGGTATACTTATTAAGGACCGATGACAATTCAGTATTAAAAAAAATATAAATTCAACTAAAAATGAAAAATATATAATAGTTTAAAAAAACTAACAAAATACGCTTTTATAGAAAATCCAACTAAAAAATAGAAAATAAATTTTAATAAATTTGAATTAAAAATAGTGTAAGAAAAAGCTTGAAAAAATATATTTGAATGTTTTTGTTGTATTTGTCTTGGTTCAAAACAAGAAATATATGCGATCNGCTTGAAAAAATATATTTGAATGTTTTTGTTGTATTTGTCTTGGTTCAAAACAAGAAATATATGCGATCGATATCATTACTTATTTGGTCACAACACTACAACTATCAAATTAGAACTGTCATCGAGAAAATAAAGAAAAGGAAATAGTACACTGAAGTAGGAAACCTATGGAAATGAAACGTCAACAAAAAATTCGTGTAGTATAAAACTATTTTATTTAAATAGTTCCGACGACTTTCTTGAGATCCTATAAAATATGTTTTAATTATTATTTTTGTATGTTTTAAGCATGATAAAATAAGAAATTTTATATAAGCAATCATATTAAATCGATATCAAAGTCAATAAATAATGTACAACTCAAAACAGGCGGCCGAACTGACGTGACAATGACATTTGGCGCGCTAAACATGGCGGATTTTCGGCCTCATTAGACGGAGACGGAGACATTTACGTATATTCATGTTTCATTTTATGTACGCACTGAAATACTGTTATATTGTTTTCCTGCGAGTTAAAGTGTTGAGTAAGAACGAGATAGATATATGTTTATGTATGTGCCTTCAAAATGGGTGCTATTTATATAAGCAATTGTACGTATAGAACAATATGTCGTGTCCCTACTATATAGGTCTATGAAATAGTATAATGATCAAGAGTTACAAGCGTTGACATTTAGAAATAATTGTCGACCGAGTATTTTGGTTTCTTTAATTAATTCGTGCATTTTTTTTTTCCTACCTAAGCTGATAGATACGCCTTCAGAAGCTATTTCAGCGTAACTTTAACTAGTAGGTAAGCTCACGGGGCTCAAGCCGGAGTGATGCAAGAGCAGTGCTTCGCAGAATCTACCGCCGGATCGGAAATGCGACCCACTGAGAAGATCCGGCAAGAAACTCAGTGGGCTGTGTCTATGGGTTAAACGTGCACAACATGCCGTACACCTTTCATTAATCGACTTTAAGTAAAAAAGAAAGAGCTTCTCAATTCAATTCTTCTAATAACATATAAGCATAGCGTATGTATTAAAATGGATAGGATATATTAAGCCTAGGCCCTGCACGTAGGCTCGGACACTCGCCATCGGACGTGTTGTGTTGTAGACGGGAGTGGCGCAGGGGGGCCGCGGGGGTGGCGCGGGGTTAACGTGAGGGTGACGCGGGGGCCGGCGACACACACCCGTCCCCCCGACTATTTGTCACAGATCGCGATGCAGGGACCGGGGAGGACAAAGAATGGCAGGTCAGACGTTTCTGTTAATAGATACATTGAACAAAAACGAATTGATGTACATGATTGAACAGTAATAACGAAACTAAAAAATAAATATGAAATCTCGATTCAAAAACGGATTTATTTTACTGTTGTGTGTGGTAAAATTAATAAAAAATTTTATTGCCCATGTGGGCAGACCAGCGTACAGCCCACCTGATGGTGAGTGGTTACCGTCGTCCAGGGACTTCAGCAATGCCAAGGGCAGAGCCAATCCGCTGCCTATCGTTATAAACACATCAAACAAAACACATCACGAAAACTTGCAATAGTTTATAGATTTGTTAAAATAAAATTATCATCCAATTTAATTTTAAATTTAGTGCATTATATGGTTAGATGAGCTCATTGTCTACCCGGTGCCGCTTCACGGAGTAGTGACATGTGCAATACTGGTTATCTACGACTCAAGGATCCTTTTTTATTTATTTTTTATTGCTTAGATGGTTGGACGAGCTCACAGCCCACCTGGTGTTAAGTGGTTACTGGAGCCCATAGACATCTACAACGTAAATGCGCCACCCACCTTGAGATATAAGTTCTAAGGTCTCAGTATAGTTACAACGGCTGCCCCACCCTTCAAACCGAAACGCATTACTGCTTCACGGCAGAAATAGGCAGGGCGGTGGTACCTACTCGCGCGGACTCACAACAGGTCCTACCACCAGTAATTACGCAAATTATAATTTTGCGGGTTTCACTTTTATTACACGATGTTATTCCTTCACCGTGGAAGTCAATCGTGAACATTTGTTGAGTACGTATTGAAACGATTGAGAAAAATTGGTACCCGCCTGTGAGATTCGAACACCGGTGCATCGCTTCAACACGAGTGCACCGGACGTCTTATCTTTTAGGCCACGACGACTTCATTCCTGAAATCATCCTGAAATTCTATCTTTGAAAAAAGTAATCTCCGAACTGACTGACACCATACAGGGACCTCACCGTACCTTATATCCGTACAAGCATCAGTGTGCTTAGTGCAATGCTTAGTATGCAGTTGGAACAGCGCCCCTGGCGGAAAACTTGGCAACTTTTTCAACTCCAAATTTGCGTTAACCTTTACGATATCGAGAACGCCAAAAACTTACACTAAGCAAACTGTTCGGTACATCGCATGCGATACGAGAGGCACAGCCGAGCACTGAACTGACTTCTCGTATTTGAAACAGCTCATAATGCGCATTTTAGTCGTGTTACGCTTATAGAGTACGCGAAGGGGGTTCTTTCTAAACTTTCAAGGTGGGGTAATAATAGTTGTGAACGTAGTGAGCTGAACGATTTTAAGCAATAGCCTGAAGTCGTCGTGGCCTAAAGGATAAGAAGTCCGGAGCGTTCGTATCTAGCAATGCACCGGTTCGAATCCCGCAGGCGGGTACCAAAATTTCTAATGAAATACGTATTTATCAAATGTTCGCGATTGATTGTCTTCCACGGTGAAGGAATAACGTCGTGTAATAAAAATAAAACCCGCAAAATTATAATTTGCGTAATTAGTAGTGGTAGGACCTCTTGTGAGTCCGCAGGGGTAGGTACCACCGCCCTGCCTATTTCTGCCCTGGAGCAGTAATGCGTTTCAGTTTGAAGGGTGAGGTAGCCGTTGTAACTATACTGAGACCTTAGAACTCATATCTCAAGGTGGGTGGCGGCATTTACGTTGTAGTTGTGTATGGGCTACAGTAACCACTTAACACAAGGTGGGCTGTTAGCCCGTCCATACATCTAAGCAATAAAAAAAATATTACTGGATCTTTTGACCCTGACAGTTAAGACAAATGGCTTTTTAATACTCGCCATAAGATGGGGCCAGAGAGCGAGCGAATGCGCACTGCGAGTATGGCTGAAGGGTATGCTAAAAACGAAAAACTTTTATAAATGCATAATTACTGCAGCACATCATTACATTGAACAGCAGATAAAATATCATTTTTATTGTAAACAAGGTTATCTTTACGGTTTTGACCTCGTTACCAACAACTGATCATTTGATTAACCGTAGGTGCTAAAGTTCAATTTTATATTTATCTGCAGGTTACGCGCGTACTTTCTTACATAAATAAATTGAAATAGTGTTAAATACGGTTTGAAAAATCTGGTATTATTAATCGGTTAACTAGGCAATTGTGGTCCACTGAAAACGGCGGGCGTGAGGATTGTTACAATATACCGTAAATATAACCACAGCTTCACCAACGATGGATACAGTAGGAGCAACAAAGCCAATGATGTCAGCTTTAACGAAGCAATCCTCGCGTGATTGATACATTTATCTCTGATCTGCGGTTGATTGGAACCGCTCCGGCAACTAGCCATTCTCGGACTAGTTATAACCAATTACATTATAAAGAGTACATTCTACAGAACTGTGTATGAGATAGATTTGCTGTTTCGAAGATTCTGCCACTTTATGATATACGCTTTCGATTAGATTTTAATGTAAGTTTGTATCTATACATATAAATAAAACTGGAGTGTCTGTTTGTGATATTGAAATAACCGCATTTTACTACATGCATATTAATATATGTACATACACCAAAATATATATTTTTTACAATTTTTGTCTGTTTGTCTGTTCCGACTAATCTCTGGAACGGCTGGGCCGATTTTGACGAGACTGTCACTGATAGGTAGCTGATAATATAAGGAGTAACTTAGGCTACTTTTTTAGACTAGCTTCGCCCCACGGCGTCATCCGCGGTACGACAATAAACGCGGGTAGTTAACATCGCGGGACTCAGATATCAATAATAAAATTTAACGTTTCCGAAGCGAAGCGAGGGCGGGTCGCTAGTCATTAATATATTCGATCATATTTATGTGGTTACAACGAGTACTATTGACAAATTGTATTTTTTTCAGTTCTTAAATTCAAAATTAAATTTTTTTTAAATCTAATATTTTGAATGTCTGGGCAATCGATCTAATCTAGCTGGGGTGCCGTATATCGACTAACTTTAGGGCCCCACAGTGCGTCTTCAGTCACCAGTATGCTTAGTGCGAGTTTCTTAATGTTCTCGATAGCGTAAAAGTTAACCCAATTTTGTATGCAGTTGGAACAGCGCCCCTAGCGGCAAACGTACGCAAAAGATTCCATACAAATATGAGCTAACTTTTACGCTATCGAGAGCGTTAAAAAACTCGCACTAAGCACACAGATGGGATTTTTGCGTGAATTTTCTGTTGTCTCATTATGATGTCGCATCTTCCTAACTCTTGGCGATATGCATCGTGTTGCACACTCCCGTGACGATCATGACCCTTCCCACAGCAT